ACCCCAAAACTGGGCACGCTGTGAGCTAAACCTCAATTATCTGTATCACTTTGATAGATAGAGAGTAACTCTATACTGATATGAAACTGGCATGATAAATTTGCCAACATACTCTAGTGAGATACATTTTATGTATATCATTGGTCTTCTTTTCTTTTCAATCTCTTTTGTTTTTATAACTGTACATCTTGCATCTCTGTTCCCCTAGGGGCAGACAAGAAAGAAAAAAAATATGCATTTGGTCTAAAAGCTTGACCTAATATGAACTCACTGATTGATATGAACTCAAATTGATTAAAAAAGAAATTATATCAATCATTTGTTTTTACTCTGTTTTCGTCTGCTACACAGGGACGTGGAATAAAAACCAAATTACCCTTACTTCAGTCAGAACAGTCACTCGATTTTGAAGGGAAAAAAAAAGAAAAAAAAAAAAAGAATTACCTATTATAATAGCACATCACAACATGCTATCAAGCAAGTATGTACCTTATCTGAAAACAATGCAGTTAGGGTTTTTAACTAAGTGCAACAAAACAGGGAAGTAGTGAAATATACCTCAAATTTTCTAATATCAAATCCTGTTTAAGACTCATTTTTCTTTCTTTCTTTCTTTTAAGCCTAAGTCAACCTGACATTACTCTATTCAGATGCCATTCTTGCCCTTATATAAGACAAGCTTACCATTTTCTAGCAGGTGCCTGCCTTAAATATAGCCTCAAATACAATATTGGTTCCTAAATAAATTCAACCAACACTGTAACACCTATGAAATAGACAAAAGCTGTATATCAAATCCTATTTTCATACTCTTTAAAAGAAAACAAGTTAGCATATAGTAGACAGTTCAAGACAGAACAGTTATATGTAGTTTGCTCCTCTCTTGTCTAGTTACTTCAATGTTATCTTTCCTGTAGTTTTCCTTTTTCTTTATATAGTCTGCTTCTCTTTTCTATAATTTCTTCATCTGCATCTTTCTTGTAGCTTTTATTCATCTCTTGCTTGTACACCTGTGATAATATTTCTTTTCAGCTTTCTTTCATTTCTATCATGTTTTCCTTTTTCAAAGATATTGTTATTGGTTCTATCTCTTATTTGATGGCTTCTTACCTAATTTATTACGCAACTGGAAGTAGCTGGATTGGCCTTTCTTGATGCTCTGGCTGAGGTTGCGGCTGCTGGTCACGCTGTCCGGGAAACGGTCTGGAAGTCGGCCTGGGGGTCTGCCCGGGATTTGGTCCTCTGCATTTTTCCAAGAACTCGGCCTGCTTATCAATGGGTAAATAAACCCTATCTACGAAGAGCTTCGAAGGCTCCGTTCTGGAGAAGTAAGCCAGTTTTCCGGCTCCTCTTGCCACTTTCAGAACTTCCATCTGAGCTTTCCTTTTCTGCCTGATTCGGATTGGTAGGTCTTCTGATATAATACATCTTTGAGCCTTTTAGATATTTAGCGTTGCTCATTATCAGCTCCCTATCTCCGTAATGAACAAAACGGGCCTTTATTGGCCTCGGCCGCAAAGTCGAGGCCAGTCGATGTACTCTTTGGTATTTCATTTCCTTCACCAACTCTGGGTCCATCTTCAAATGATCCTTATAGAACTTTTGCAAGGTCTTTTTAACATCTTCTCCACCAGGCCCCTTCTGCTGACGCCTCTTCAGGTATACCAATAAATACCAAGTTCTCTCGGCAATTATACGCGTTCAACCTATCTATTTCCTCCTCCAACATTTTTTTGTCATCCTTCATTTCCTTCCTTAGCGTCGGAATTGTATCCTTAATCACTTTCTCTATGTTGTTTGCGTTAAAAGTGACTGAAGCAATGACATCAGATATTTTGGATTCTATTTGTCTCATCTCTGTTGTAATTCTGTTCTCCAGTCCACGACACTCTTCATGAATTTTGTCCCACATCTTATTCATATGGATATCCAGTCTCTCGTCAAGAAGCTCTAAATCTAATCTATACCCTTGCTGGTCCTTGGCCTTCGAACCGGCGGGCCCTTCTGGGCTTGAACGCTGGCGTTTTGGTTGTTAATGCGCCATGTCTTGCACACGTAGAATTGGAGAGAGACAACAGTAAGCTTATGGGAGGAGCGGAGCGGATAAAAGGAACGTCTTCACCCGACGACGGTCATGCTTGCTGTGTTGAATTGTACCGATTCAGATTCAGATCGCACCAAAATAGAATGAGTATAAATTCCCGCCGTGTAGAACGATGACTTCCGGCGTGCTATCGTAGCTCGGGTTCACACCGGCAGAGATAGCGCGGCCTAGCGAGCGCTATAGACCGCGCTCTCTCTCTCTGGGCGTGTTCACACCGCGAGGGGGACCGTGGGCGGACCGTGGATCGCGCTATCGTAGCGCGACCCACGGTCCGCCCATTGGCATTCGCCGGATCCACACCGCAATGAGAAAGCGCGGTCTATCGTAGCACCCCCTTTTTTGAGAGGTCCTGTTGTCATGACGCGTGACGTCATGAGGTCAGAGCGGTGAAAGATTTCGCGCTCTATTACTAATTAGGAGTGTTGAATAGGCCATTTTCGTAATGTTACCAAATTTAATGCATACGTCTTTGTGAAGTGCCTCAATACAAATAATTCCATTCACCTGATAAGAATAATAGTATTTCAATAGACAGAATCCAAACTGCATACATTAGTTGTTGCCAGTTTGGACAAGCATTATGGCTTGAACTAGCAATTACACTTAATATATGCAGTTGCATTCTGACTATCGAAATACTATTATTCCTATCAGGTGAATGAAATACTTTGTATTGAGGCACTTCACAAACAATATGCATTCAATTTGGTTACATTACGAAAATGGCCTATTGTACCGATTCAGATCGCACCAAAAAAGAATGAGTATAAAATTCCCCGCGTGTAGAACGATGATATCCGGCGTGCTATCGTAGCTCGGGTTCACACTGGCAGAGATAGCGCGGTCTAGCGCGCTAGACCGCGCTCCCTCTCGTGGACCACCCCCAAGAGGTGCTCCAGTGTTGGCTCGCCGTGGCTCGCTGTGGCTCGCTGTTGGGCGGACCGAAACGACGTTGTACCTTCCACACCGCAGAGATAGCGCGGTCTAGTGCGCGCTAGACCGCGCTATCTCTGCCGGTGTGAACAGCCTCTCTCTCTCTCTCGTGGACCACCCCCAAGAAGTGCTCCAGTGGCAAGCCGTTTCGGCTCGCCATAGCTCGCTGTTGGGCGGACCGAAACGACGTTGTACCTTCCACACCGCAGAGATAGCGCGGTCTAGCGCGCGCTAAACCGCGCTATCTCTGCCGGTGTGAACAGCCTCAGAGAGCTGACCAAGACAGTGAGGCTGTTCACACCGGCAGAGATAGCGCGGTCTAGCGCGCGCTCTATCGCGCGCTAGGCCGCGCTATCTCTCGTGGACCACCCCCAAGAGGTGCTCCAGTACTGGCACGCCGTTTTGGCTCGCCGTGGCTCGCTGTTGGGCTAACCGAAACGACGTTGTACCTTCCACACCGCAGAGATAGCGCGCGCTAGACCGCGCTATCTCTGCCGGTGTGAACAGCCTCAGTGATCGAGCCTAACGCTCGACCAACTCACAGCCCCCAGGACTGACAGAACTCTTCTCAAGGCTTTTTCATAGGCGATTATTTAATGGGGACTCGTCTTAGCTTTGGGTTGGGAATGATAAGCCCGATCAACACGTTCGCACCTGTTTTGATTAGAAATAAACTCCGTAGGCTTTTTTTTTTTTTTTTTGCAGGGACAAACTCTTGTCAGTCGAATCGTTAGTTATTTAGGGGGGTATTCAAAGTCATCAATCTCTATCAAGAAAAAAATGTAAATAATAATCGTTAATAGAGACCAAACAAAATATAATATTCTAATTCATACTATTATAGAGAGGACTTAAAGTGTACAACAATTTTTCAACAATTAAACGTTCATGCAAACTGAGGAATCTAGGATCCCTCAAAGAATTCAAAGAAAAGATTTGTTAAGGTGCAATTTCTTTACTCAAAATTGTCTGAAATTCAGACGGCATTTCATTAGATATAGTAAACATAACTTAAGTATCTAAGTACGGTATTGCAAAGCATAGAAGTTGGTAAATAGATTAAAAAATAACTTAAACTATTTCCACCACACTTTGCGTATGGGCATATTAAGCGATTCAAACGTCGGATTAGCTTAAATTAAATCGTATTTAACAACATTTTTTCTAATTTTAATAAAAATAATGGAATCGAAACGTGGAAGGGGGAGTGAGCACTAATTATTATTATTGTGTTTGCTCAACGGGGGGGGGGGGGGGTTGTGGAGCACCACTTTGTTTTCCTTTTGTTAAGGGGGAGGGGTGGTTCGCGCGAGAAATAATCGAATTGTTATTAAATACGATTTAGTTTAATTTAAGCTAAACCGGCGTTTGAATCGATTAGAATGCCCTGGGTCTATATACTACATACATCTTTATCATAGTCAGGTTTTATTAATAACATGGATTTGTCTACACATATGTATACTCATAATGTCATATACCAAAGACTTATAATAATGGGACCTTCTGCCTTTTAGCTAGGCGCTCAGTATATTAGATTGGAGAAGGGTAGTAATAACATATTATGTTATGCAGGCCCGCTGGAAGAGCAGTTTCATAGCTGAAGTGGCAACCCTGGGTAAATAAAACGTTAATATTATTATTATTATTATTATTATTATTATTATTATTATTATTATTATTATTATTATTATTATTATCATCATTATTATTATTATTATTATTATTATTATTATTATTATTATTATTATTATTATTATTATCATCATTATTATTATTATTATTATTATTATTATTATTATTATTATTATTATTATTATTATTATTATTATTATTATTATTATTATTAATATTATTATTATTATTAGTATTATTATTATTATTATTATTATTATTATTATTATAGTACACACAAGTCATTTCCGAAAACCTCTTCCTTCATCAGGTAAAACAAAAACAATTTGGCATGGTGGCTCAGTGGTTAGAGCGCCCGCCTCTTAAAGGGGAGGTCCTGGTTTCGAACCCCGGCCGAGTCATATACCAAAGACTTATAATAATGGGACCTTCTGCCTTTTAGCTAGGCGCTCAGCATATTAGATTGGAGAAGGGTAGTAGTAACAGTCACACAAAATTCTTAGGCTTCTTGATTGATGAAAAACTTACACGGAATAACCATATAACAGCAAAAGTTGAGCGTAAACGTACCCTATTTAGTTAACCATGGATCTACTAGACATACACACCAACTGCGTGCATGTATGTGGTCTTTAATTTCATTAGAATTGGTTTACTCGTCAAAGAGTAAATCCTCCAAAATTGAATATTTTTTTCGATATATAAAACGAAGTACATAGTGTATATCAATATAAACATAGGAAATAAAATATATATTAAATATGGTTACTAAGTTGCTAAATTTACATGCTGTATAGTATTTTGTGAGTTGTTTTTTTTTATAATTAAGAACATCAACGAATCAAGAAATTAAACCGACATATAATTTTAAACAAAATTTAGTCGACTTTTCATTGATAAATGACCGTTTTATTCCATTATTTTTATTTAAATTAGAAACAAGTTGTTGAACCGATTCAATTTCATCTAAGCCGAAGTTTGAATCGATTAATACGGCCTGTCTTCTAAATTAATGTTGACATTTTGATTGGAATAGTTTAGCAAGGAGCTATAAGACTACAGTCTTCCTTGGTGTGAATAACTTTCAACCATTCGCAAATTGTGGTGGAATTAGTTTAAATTATTTTTATGTTTTGCAATACCGTACTAAAATACTAGAAATATTATTATTATTTATCTAATGAAAATGCTGTATGAATTTCAGACAATTTTTAGTAAAATAAAATTACACCTTAAACAAATCTTTTCTTTGAATTCTTTTAGGGATGCTGGATCATTGATTTTGTATCTCCATTGCCCTCTTCCTTTCTTTATTCCTCTTTCTCTCTCTCTCTCTCTCTTTCCCCCAACCCCCTTGAATTACCTTCAGAAGGGCGTTTCACAAAGCCTTTTTTCAATGACAAATGACAAAAATCAGTGACAAATCTGCTGATAACCAATCAGAAGCAAGGATTTCAGTAGCTTATAACAAAAACTGTCATTTGTCACTGATGACAAGTTTTGTGAAACGCCACCAGCTCTTCTTTCTCACCTTGCTCACTGTGGAGTGCATTCAACAAATATGTTCATGCATTGCTGTCTTTTGATATAGGCCTACTTTAAAAATTTCTTATTTTTATGTAATTTGTCACAACCAGTTGCTATTCATATTTTGACCCTTAGTCCTATACAACATACATCTTTATCATGATAAGCTTTTAGTGATGACCTGGATTTGTCTTGACAGTCACATGTATAATCAAATTATTGTATTTTGACATGGAAATCAGTGCTTCCGGTGACAAATTTTCCCTATCTCCTCTCGCTCGCTCTCTTTCCTCTCTCTCATCACGTTAATTTCCTTACCCCTAGTTCTTTTAGTTCCCTGAGTGTCTCTCTGACTTCTTTTTCCCCTCTTTTCTCTTTTTCTTTTAATTTCATTTTTCGTCATCTCTTATTTCCTCTGTCCATTTTTTAGTTGTCATTCTCTTTCTCACTGTACCTAATTATTTCTATTTCTGTCCATGTCTAACACTTATCAGAGTTGTAAAGGGGAAGAGGCACTTTTACAAAATTAATAATAATAATAATAATAATAATAATAATGTAACTTATATCGCGCCAAATCCACTCTGTGGAGTGCTCAAGGCGCGTGTAAACAGGAAAAACGATCAAGACTTGAAAAGGAATGTTTTGAGATGAGTTTTGAGGGGCACTTGTCAAAGTAAAACGGGCACTATTCCTATCTAAAAAGGGGCACTTCTTACAAAGTGAAAGGGGCACTTTTCGGGTGCTTGAAAAAGTGGGGGGCACTGTGCCCCCCCCCTGCCCACAGGGATGGCCGCCTTTGTGTGTGTGTGTGTGTGTGTGTGTGTGTATATATATAAATAAATAATCCTTTCTCGCTCCCATACACGTCCTTTATTTTCTCATACCTTCCTTTCACCCTTTTCCTGCCACTATTCTGCCAAGCTCTGAATACCACGAAACATATATAAAGCACACGCTGCAATACACATTAACTTAAATCTAAAAGTTATTGCTTTATTGTTTCTTTTTTTCCTCAAAAGTTAAAACCAGTGGGCAAGGAATTTTCTATTTTCTCGTCCTTCTGATAGGAAGTTACCCGTAAGTACCCCCCCCCCCTCCCCCCGACGAAAAAAACAAATCTTCTGCACACCTGTCTTAGCACAAGTAGTTATGATTTAACTTCAAGCAATTTCGAATGAGGTGGTGTAACTCAATGATAATAATGAATTATTAATATCTGTAATAATCGTACTACTACTAACAATAATCACTATAGTTATGATATTAACATTATTTATAATAATAATAATAACAATAATAATAATGATAATAATAATGACGGTAATAATGTTCCTAATAAGAAAAATGATCATTAAATTATAAAGAATATGAGAATAATAATGATGATGATAATGATAATATTAATAACAACATTAATGATAATGATGATAGTTGTATAAACGATAATAAATTATTACAATTTTGATGATAATGATGACTACGGAAATAATTATAGCATTATACTGAAAGTAAATAAATACAGTGATGATAACAGTGACAATAACATTAATACAAATAATAATCATAATCATAATCATAATAATTATAATAATAACAATAATAACAATGGTGTCGGTTTTGTTGTTATCTTTCTTGCCGATATTGTTCTTGTTGCCTTTTAATCATAATTAACTAGCCCAAATAAGACACAGACATAATTATGTAAACATATTTTGTCATACATTTTAGACACTTTTAGAGATATTTAGACACATTTACTTCTTCAATGATAATGCTTTACAAAGATCATAGAACCATTTTACGAAGTATCAACAACAAAAAATTTGACTAGTAAGTGACGTTGACCCGAGGGTACATATAGGTCAATTTTTCCATTATAAAATAGAAAGAGAGAGAGAGGAGGGGGAGCAAGAGAGAGAGAGAGAGAGAGGGGGGGAGATAGTGAGATAGACAACGGGGGAAAGTTAAATGGTTTGGGAGAATAGAAAAGACATCCCTAATGAAGAAACATATCCTCGGAAGACACTCACATGACACGATCCAAGTATTGCGTTCCTGCTGTCTATCGTTGTCCATTGCCTTTTCATGGTAATACTTTTTTGCAAACAACAATGCTACACACTTTACAACAAGTATAAATCTAGAAACAATACAAAGCGAATAGTCTGACGATTAATAATTATTTACACTCCTACCGGCTCTTAAAAAAAATTGTTATCCCCCCGCCCATGTGTTTGCATGCAGTCCGTCCCTTAACAGGAATATTTCCCTGTTCGTCCGGTTTTCCTCTTCAAAAGAATTTTTTTCTACCAGCTGACAAACATGGAGAGGATGGATGGGACGAGAAGGAGAAGGAACGTAGCCATGGATACCGTTGTCATGGCGGCGCCGTTTCCAACGTTACAGTTGTCGGTTTCACAGCAAGCGAAGCAAGGGGGCTGTACTCCGGGACCACATTGACGTTCCATACGCTGGGTGGATCGGGAGGTGCAGTCGGAGCGGTTTGTGCAACCCCGGTTTAATGCTGAGAAAAGAACAGTGATAAAAACGATGAAAATTCGTATTCACTTATCAATTTTTATAATTAAAGTAACAATAAGAACAAAATGATAATAACAAAGGTAATTATAATTATAAATAGTACATGTAATAGTATAGTAATAATGACTGCTGTGAGAGACATAGTTGTTTTTATACGCTCAAGGGGAGGTTACATCGTGCTATCGCCCCGAGGCGTGCCGAGGGGTGATAGCCCGATGTAACCTCCCCGGGAGCCTATAAAAACAACTATGACTCGAATATTAAAGCAGTCATTATAACTATAATAATGATAACAGTTTTATTATATTAACGATGATAGGTATTCCTTATCATACTTATTATATTCTCTTTAATTGCCGTTTTCATGAAAATGACAATAATAATGATTGAGTCAAAAATAGAGTATCAAAGTTGTTATCGTTACAACAAAAGTGTGGATCAGGAGGATCATTAAAAAAGTAATGATGGCGCAATTGATCATAATCATGATATCAATTATTTATAAGTAATAAATATCATAGGCCCATGGACATTTTGAGGATAGGTTTAGTAATCATGACTTCTACTTCATATGTATTAGCACTAGAATATCAGTGATAATAATAACGATGAAGATTCTAGTTATGAAGAAATTAGAACCGAGAAATAAGTTTAGAAAACTTTTAAATTCAAGAACACAATGGCTATTGTTATGATAATGAATTTCATAAAGAAAACACTATGGTTTATGTGCTATAGACTAAAGCTATACCAAAAAAGGTTAATTGCAATACGTAATTGCATTATTAAGACAATTTAGCATAAAGCAAGTAATTATGATCCTATATTCAGTGAGGTATTCAGGTTAGGGTGAAGCCAATGGATGCCCCTCCCCCCCCCCCCCCCCCCCTAAAAAAAAAAACAATAACGCTTTTATTTTTAAAGAGATTAATTGGACATTATGTAAGGTAGAGGACCTTGCTTTTGTAAATCATTGTCACTGATTTCTTGTCAGACGTTTATAAACACTCGTGCTAAATATCTTATATATAAAAAATACTTAAGCTTTCAAACTGTTCCCTTGAACTTTTTGAAATACATTCACAGAAATGTTGATAAAGTCAAACACGAACATTGTTATTTGCATCGATCACGTTCCATATATTTTAAGGGAATACACACACTGATCTCTACAAAGAAAACCCGGAAGACGACAATCGAAACACAACATTCCCACACCTACACGCACGCTCGCCCGCCCACACAATGCAAAAACAAAAGCAAACACTCTATCAAAGAAAATCTGTTTTCAAATGCTATTAATGTGTGCCCCAAACCATACCACATACGTGTACGTTAACATGTGGGTGGGTGTGCGTCGTGCGTAATTCTATGTGGAAACAACGATCACCGACAGTGGGTAATTATAAGCACCTGACGTCATTATTTGGGGTCCTATTCAAAATCAGGGACGGAACATGCGCGGAAATTGCTCATAAAATTCTCAGACAAGCAAGAAGAAGAAAGAAAAAAATATCACATTCACTTTTGGCGCTTCTCTTTTTCCAAAACAAAGTTTAATTAAACAATTTATTTATTTTTTTAAATTAAAAAAATACTGGGAATGCAAAAAGTGCCTGAAATGTAACAGTTTTCCGTGATTTATTTGTTGCCATAATTTAAAGACTAAAGACTTAAAATCGTTGAACATATTTGATCCCCCTCCCCCTTCTCATCCGGGATTTGTGCCCACACGTTCATATGTACGCGTTGAGAGGAAGGGCGCTGTCACGCAAACATAAACTATGCCAATATTAAAGCGATACTGAACTGATGAACTGTGTGCCGTAGCGTAGCGTTTATTGCACGACGCCATCTCATGGTCCCTTTGCCAACAGTGCGTAACCAAATACCTAATTTCTACTTTGGAGACGGAGGTTTCGATGAGAGAACCAACATCGCAGCTAGGGAAGCAGCGAATTACAGCTGACCTTTAATAGATGCCGCTAGAGGGGATGTTGCGGTTGTGCTTCTAGTATAGTATGGCTTGAAATGGATGAGCTCTTTAATAACCCTTTGTCTGCCACTTAGGCAATTTTCCGCACCCATTTCAGTTCCGTTTCATAATCTTTGACGTACAAGAGTTAGTTTGGTCTCGCACGTAGGAGGCGCGATGGCTCAGTGGTAGAATAGTGGTCTCGAAACCCGGAGGTTCCGGGTTCGAAGCAAAGTCAGTGCGCTCGTGCCCTTTATTAAGGCATTCAACCTCATTACCAAGCCCTCGGCATGCTCTAAAGATGTCGGTCCGCTGACTGCTTATAGACAAGCAAACATATTCTTTAAAGACCGTCTGTACTAGTTTGGCCAGGGGGGATTAAACCTCCCTGCAAGGTCACTGACAGGTAGTTATCTTATCAAATCAGCTCTCCATTAACACAAGAAAAAGAGGATCATGGGAGACCAACATGCACCGATTAGGCATTGTTTGCTATATAGAGGGCGCAAGTAGCTATAAGTAGTGCAGAGGGGATTTAATAGCAGTGAGATAAAAACAAATCATCCAACAAAGAACGAAACTTACTGCCCATGCTTGTCATTTCATGATAGCACTGAGGGATAGCCATGCCCATCACTCCGGCGGGACAAAGACGGCTGGTCTGCTGGAGGTTGGTCGCTGTCTTGGCACAGTTGTTACATGTATAACAATTTAAAGCCGTAACTGTAAGGAAATAACCGTCAATAATTATATTTAACTGATTAACATTTTATGATTTATAAATCATACATATAAATTATATATCTTTATTTACAAGTACAGGTGTATAAACATGGTACAGGGCCCTGTATTACAAAGAGTTAATATAAATCGCAACTTATTTGCAATTGATGTCAATCGCAACTATGTAAGAGATAGAATATTGCAAACTTACGATTGATTGGATGCCTTGCGATTGATTTGGATCAATCGTAACGCTTTGTAAGACGGGGCCCAGGATGACATGGGTATCTAATCTAGGCTATTGCTTGCATCTTACTGCTTTTACACTTCTACTAGCAAACCAGCTATTTCATAATTAAATACTATACGCCGTTTAAAAGGATAGGAAAAGAATTCAAATCAATGTTTTATTCTTATTATCTGTATATGGTTCCATTAATTCTTTCCAAATCTCTTGACCTAAGCAAATCAAATTATATGATAATAAAGGGCAAAAGGAGATCTGTCCAAGTAAAAGGTGCTCTTGAAATATCTGGATCTAAATTACTTGAAGTAGATAAGGCATCTTTTGTAGGACTACAAATTGATGAGCATCTCACATGGATTGAACATATAAAAATGGTAAATCGAAATATTCGTTCAAAAGTCGGAATTTTGTTCAGAATAAGGCATTATTTCCCACAGAACATTTTAGTGCTATTATACAAAGCGTTAATCCAGCCACATATTTTGTATGGAATTGAAGTATGGGGAACCACATACAAAACCAACTTGAATTGTATTTTCCTTACCCAGAAAATGGCAATGAGAGCGATAACTTTTAGCTCAAGAAGTACCCATTCGGGACCCTTGTTCCAAAAGATAAAAGTTTTAAGTATTTACAACCTTCATTTCCTATCTGTCTCAACCTTCATCTATGACTTATTAAATGGCAATCTTCCTCACTCCTTAATTGAATACTGTCAGGTAATAGAGCACAGATATGGCACAAGGGGCAAAGAACAAGGACAACTATATCTGCCTAAATGCAAAAACACACAAGGTCAATTTTCAATATCATTTATGGGCGTGAAAATATGGAATAGTATACCATACGATTTAAGAGGAATACGATCTAAAAATGCTTTTCGGAAGGGGTTAAAGAAACATCTAAATACTTTGAGTTAAACAAAAGTTAAAACTTCTTAAAATGGCAAAAAGAAATCTCAGATTAGAAAATTTCTAAAAAGATCACTAGATAATGATATATTTTTTATTTACTGTATGTTTGGTATTGATACGGAAGTCAACACACATTTGACTTCCATGTATATTAAGTAAGGAATACTTCTAAAGTACTATTCTATTTCTTTGTTTACTTATATAGTTTATGTTACATGTATATAATGTAGTATAGTAAAAAAAAAAAAAAAAAAAAAAAAAAAAAAATAGTTTTAAAATTCTTGCCAAAGACAGGGAACCAGACTCGACTAGCACTTGTGCTAACTTCTGGTACCCCCTTTAACAACAAAAGTGTACACATAATATTTTATTCCATTTGTATACGACATACTTTGTAAAACAATATTTATATTATTCTGTGTAATGTTATCGATCTTGTGTTATATTGTTATATTTTATGTAATCATGCTTGATACATTATGTTGTTTTTTTTGTTTTTTTTTTAATTTTTTTTTTTTTACTTGTTATTATTTTTGTTGTTAATAAACTCAAACTCAACAGCGTACAATAGGCTTTAAGTTACCTTTAAACAATGGAACATATCTTTGAATGATATAACATAAATAAGGTGTGAATAATATATCATACTTTTGAATAATATATCATAGCTTTGAACACTGGATTAACATACATTAAAATAATATTACATATGTTTTGAATTATATAACATACCTTTAAAAAATATGACATATATTTGAATCAATACCTTTGAAATATATATCATATTTGTTTAGATACAGAAGCCTACATTTGAATAATATATCATATGTTTTTGTTTAAAGTAACATTCCTTTCAATGATTTAGCATAAGTTATTGAACCATAATATACCTGTAAACAATGGAGCGAACTTACCTGTAACAAGTAGACAAGCGCCTAAGATAGTTATAAAACCAAAAGTGGAAGCCATTTTCTATCTCGATTCGTTTACGACGACCAAAAAGGAGCAGAAGGGAAGAAATTGAAAATACACGTCCACGATCGACAAAGTCATTCACTGAAATATTTGAAGGGTGGGAAGGGGGACCTGGAACTGACGCGCGCTCGTACTTTTTTTTTTCATCTCATAATTTCTGACGGCCAAAATGATTTAAAGTTTTGTTTCGTGTGCCTCTTTTCCATGAATAATGGAGTTTTCAAACGGTGCGGTTGTAATATGTGATGGTACTTTATGTAATGGACAATGATATTTGGGGTGATTAGAACTAAAATGGTCAAATAGAATATAATCCTATTTCAGCATGATAAAATATTCAACATACCTAGAGAGTACAACCATGTGCCAAATCAGTGGTGCCACGCCTCAATTTGTCTTAGTTTTTTCTACATGCTCTCACCCCCACCCCCTTGTTTTTGTATCGGGCGTCGGCATGATATCCTGTTAATAATACGCCTACGTCTTACCCTTTGAAAACACGGTTCGTAAAAGGGGGCAGAGGGGCACAAGCATACAAATTCATTCAGGCCCTCACCCACTCCGCCCTTTTTATCTCTTTTCTCCCCCTCCCCTTCTAATGGATCCAGTAGAATTGTGTTTGTTTCATAATCAACACTATTGACTGTGTGAAAACAAATGTAAATACAACATAAGTCCACAAAAGTCTCTTTTTTTCTATCGTTATCATTTGTATTATTAATATTCTTGTTTATCATAATCATTATCATTATTGTTGTGTCAGTAATATTAGTATCGTGTCGTTATTATTATAAATATTTCTTGTTATTATTATCATCATCACACAGGTGCTACAACAAAAATATAAAGAAATAGGGATGTACAATGTATTGTATATCGGGTTAAAGGGAATTTGTTCATAGGCCATTTACCAAACTCGAAAGGTGCGTATGTGGAGGAAGGGACTTTCGACTGACGTAGGAGCAAGTTCCCTTTAACCCAATTTACAATACAATGTACAACCTTATTTGTTTTTGTTGTAGCATTAATATTTGAATCTAATATTCGGGATGATGATATAAACTTTTAAAGAAACTGACATGATTGTTACTTAGGAAAGCATAACGTCTATCATAATTATTATTAATATATATATATGTATGTATATATATATATATATATATATATATATATATCCCGACGCAGAGAATAAAGGAGACTTATATACGAGTATTATAAATTTGTGGGTTGATTTACTGAAGTCAATAGTCAAGTGTGATGTCCGCGCTAAAAATAACAAACTCCAATATAATATGTCATATTATTTTGTTGGAGTAATTTTCCCCTTTTGGGCATACGGGGTCTACTCGCTAATTTTAAGGACCGCTATTTGTAAAAGACCGCTATTCATTTAGTCAAACGTTATGGATAGCGGTCCTTATGAAAAGTGGTCCTTGTGAATAGCGGTCCTTATGAACAGCGAGGTAAATTGTCTATGGTTTGTTTGCTATTTATAGGGGCCGCTATTCATAAATGATCATAATTCATTGTGTCACGCGTTATGAATAATAGTCCTTATGAATGGCGGTCCTTATGAACAGCGAGGTAAATTGTCTATGGTGTGCTCGCTATTTATAAGGGCCGCTATTAAATAAAGGATCGCTATTCATTTTGTAACGAGTTATATGAACAATGGTCCTTATGAATGGCGGTCCTTATAAAGGGCGAGGTAAATTGTCTATGGTTTGTTCGCTATTTATAGGGGCCGCTATTCATAAATGATCATAATTCATTGTGTCACGCGTTATGAATAATAGTCCTTATGAATGGCGGTCCTTATAAACAGCGAGGTAAATTGTCTATGGTTTGCTCGCTAGTTATATGGGCCGCTATTCATAAATGATCACAATTCATTTTGTCTCGCGTTATGGATAGCGGTCCTTATGAATAGCGAGGTAAATATTGTCTATGGTTTGTTCGCTATTTATAAGGGCCGCTATTAAATAAAGGATCGCTATTCATTTTGTAACGAGTTATATGAATAATGGTTCTTATGAATGGCGGTCCTTATAAACAGCGAGGTAAATTGTCTATGGTTTGCTCGCTATCTGTAGGGACCGCTATTCATAAATAAGAACAATTCATTTTGTCGCGCGTTATGGATAGCGGTCCGTATTAATAATGGTTCTTATGAATGGCGGTCCTTATAAACAGCGAGGTAAATTGTCTATGGTTTGTTCGCTATCTGTAGGGACCGCTATTCATAAATAAGAACAATTCATTTTGTCGTGCGTCATGGATAACGGTCCTTCTGAATAATGGTCCTCATGAATAGCGGTCCTTATGGAGGAGGATACTTTGGATGGAGAGTCTGCAGAAATAGTTGGAAGGGAGAGGAGTGAAAGAACTGGGAGTGGTACTAATAGAGAAGGCTAGGAACCGAGGGTTGTGGAACAGCATGATTGCCAAAGTCAATCGATATGGCACTTTGGAGAGAGAGAGATAGAGAGAGAGAGAGAGAGAGAGAGATGGATAGCGAGCTTGACCCGGGAATACGACGGGAAACAAAACTTTCACTTTGCCAACCTCTGACGCAGAAAATCCCCCTTTCCGTTCGAAACGCAGCAAACCCTGAAACCCTGGGGGTGACGAAATGTGGGGCATTTACCAAATCATATTCCCCCTTCCTCTCCCCCAGCGCTGATTACCTCAAAAATATTGGATTTCGATAATTTATCTCAGCATACGGATACGAGGTGTAAATTGACAAGGGCTTAGCCTTGATCCGTGACTCAACGCATATATAGCACATCTTCATATGTAGCCAGCATGAATCGGCATACATGGGACACAACAAGAGAATGACTGTAACTTTTTTATGGGGAAAAAATATGCAAAGAGTTAGCGGGGTCCATAGAGGGACTATACTCATTTGTTTTACATTTAAAGGGGGGTTCCACCCGGATATTTTCTTGTTTAAATAAAAGCAGAAAGATGAGAGACATCAGTAAAAGTACGAGCAGTATCAGATTAAAATAGGAAAGTTTTGATGTTGTTTGAAGTTTTCATCAGTGAAACACAAACTGGCAATACTGTGACGTATCGTGTGAGCTACTCTTCCAGTTGCGCTAAATACAGATAATGTCATAAGTTTGTATTGTCTCAGTTATTTAAGACGTAATAAACTTTATACAGGGGTTGTATTAAAAAATTTAAAAAGATATTAAGGCAAATTTGTGACTTGATTGATCGCACCATGCTAAACTTTCTTATTTCGAATAGGCTTTTGCTCAAACTTTCACTGAGCTGTTTCTCTCATTTTTCTGCTTTTTATTAAAACCAACTTAATATCAGAGTGGACTTCCACTTTAAGGTGAATTTTTATCAATGATAGAAAGTTTAGTCTTATGTCAGTCGCTGACACTTCTTTTTACCGAGCTGATTTGAGGATATTTAAAATAGTTCCTTTAAACAAACTTGTTCCAGAGTTTGTAGTTGCAACAACCTTCAATACAATTTTTAGATAATGTTTGTATATTTATCTTTATAAATCATTGCTATTTACTGTTTCACTATGTATCCATGTACAAGTTGTGCGTCCGAACAGATTATTTCAAACAATAACTTGAAGAAGTTTCTTTAAACTCTTGTGCTGGATAATATTAAGTGTTATTTGATGAATATTATTCTTTATGTCTGAAGACAAACATAAGTGAGAGCTTTAATTGTCCTTAGCGTCCGGACACACAAACCGCAATTCTTGTTGGCGCTTTGCGTTGCCAAGTTGGATGATTTTCGAATAAAGATCGTCAGTTCCTGATCGCAAGTTGGATGATTTTCGAACAAAGATCGTCAGTTCCTGATCGCAAGTTGGATGATTTTCGAATAAAGATCGTCACTTCCTGATCAGAAATTTGCACAATACAATACATTAAAAAAATAAACATGAAATTGAAAGGGAAGGAGGGCCGACTAAAAAGCAGAGCTTGTAGGTTGTAAGCCCCCCTGTAAAAGTAATTATTATGAATTATTATTTTATGAGAAAAAAACAACAACAATAACAATAACTGATTCAGTAATACAAAAAATCACTTTTAAACGCAAAACATTGATAAATACATACATGTTTATAAAAAGAAACAATCAAAGTTGCATAAAGTCACACTACAAATTATATTTGATTGGGGAATGCAATAGCCTATAGTAACTATTCAGAAGAAAGCTTTTAAGTCCCCTTTTGAAAATTTGTATCGAATTACACTGTATAATATCATTTGAAAGTGAATTCCACAGTTTATTCCTTTAAACAATCTTGGTCCGGATTTGATGTTTGTAGTTTCAGCAACCTTTAATACAGCTCTTAAATCATTTTTGAATATACAACAATGCTATTCACTGTATCGTTAGGTATTCCTTTACAAGTCGTATGTCCGAACAGTTTATTTCAAACAGTAATTTGAAAAAAAGTTTCTTTAAATGCCTATGTTGGACAATATTGGGTGCTATTTGATGCCAGAGACAAACGTTAAGTGAAAGCTTTGATTTTCCTCAGCGTCCGGACACACAGCCCACTATCCTCTTAGCGCACTGCGTTGCCAAGTCTGGATGTTTGTCGAATGACTCGATCATCATTTCCTGCCAATGCCCTCGATCTGGGTGAACATTTGAGGTTTCACTAGTCTCAAGGAATTAGTCATTTATTTCATCTTGTTCTGTGCTCCGAAGTATTCTGAAGCAGACTTTTACGACACAACACACACATACACACGCACATACATATAACTCATGCACCTCCCCCCCCCCCCCCCCCCGAAAAAAAAATGAAGGTTGAAGAGTTGTCCAACTGTCCGTTAATAGGGACCTTTAGATTTGCACGCCGACATAATGGACTGCTACGTGTGACATCCTTTTAAGGCAATGTGACGTCTGTTGAGGTCTTAAAGTGTAACATGGTCTTAAAGTGTAACACGACTCCCTAGCTCCTGAAAAAATAGTCGCTGCGTGCGCGCGGCGCGTACGCACAGCTGTAGCTAGCTAGCTGTACATGATTGTATGTGTAATGCTCGCTCTCGCTTATGCTACGGTCACAAATGGTTCGTACGAACGATAATTTTGTACGAATCTCCCTGTTTTTCCATTGTCTTCTCGAATTTCCATTGTCTGAAAATCGTTCGTAATGGCATTTGTGACCGAGGCTTAAATTGGGCTAACTAGCTAGTTGGCAGCAATAATTCAACATCTTAAAAAAGAGGGGAATAAAGACCGATCAGAGCACATAGTTCCATGAGTAGGTATTTTTTGTTTATCCCATACACAAAACGTTGCCAATATAGGAGGGAAAATGAGATAGAAAAGAAAAGGAAGAATAGAAAGAAAGTAAAAAGAGTTAAAAAAACGAAGACACATAATTATAAAAAAAAAATTAATGGAAGAAATAAAGAATATGGGAAAAACGAACTACGAAAAAAAAGAAACATGAAATGTTTTATTAAAGAAAAAATGAAATGAAAGGAAAAGAAATAATATGAATGAAAGGAAGACGACAGAAGAAGGGAAACTATTCTTTTTATTTTATTTCTTTTATTCATTTTCAGTTCTGAATACAAAAAAACATCAGTATACACTAAAACATACATAAAGAAATATGAATATATTTTAAACAGAACTGGCCAGTGCTCCAAGATAAACAAATGTTAATGCCTTGTGAGCGCTGACAATTAAGTAGATGTTCAAGCAAAATGCATACATTTGGGAGTACCTGATAATGCAAACATACAGCAAACAGATTAAGAGAAGAATATTAGGTAGAAAGAATGAAACAAAATGCAAATGGCAAAGGACGGTGTTTCAAGTGCTGTGCAGAGCAGTGATATAACGAAATCTTTGCTATATAAGGTATAAAATTGATAAGAAGACGAAGGGGATGGAAGAGAATTGGTTTGCGTCAAAAAAAGATTATAGATAAAAGTAGGAATAATAAGCAGGGCCCAGGGAATGACTTCAGTAAGGATGCGAGGTGCTGACAAGCAAGGAAAAAGTAGGAAAAACACAGATCCTAAGATAATAGGTCCTGTAAATTTGCCTGAGTGTGAAAAACGAAAACAAGTCATTATAAAAAAAAGGAATTATATAGAAAGAGAAAAGGGTCCTCGTCTCTTGACAAACGTAGGCCTAAAAAGAGTTTCTAATACACTGGCCAGGATAGTAATGCAGCTGTTCGATGTGCTAGCTAGCTAGGTTTCAAAGTACAAAGTGCGTCTGCGAGCTCCACGTACGCATGTTCAACACAGGGACTATTTTTTCAGGAGCTAGGGAGTCGTGTTACACTTTAAGACCATGTTACACTTTAAGACCTCATTAGACGTCCTTTTAACCCTAATAAGGCCGGGGGGGCCATCATGCCCCCCCCCCCCCTCCACGATTTTTCTGATTGTTCGTGAACGCATATGGGTGGCGCCCCGCCGCTCGCTGACTTTTTTCTTTCGAGTCTAGCGCAACTTTTAAAACAATTTTTTTGAAAATCGGCCCTACGGTTACAAGGTCACGTGACCTTTTGTCTTTGCATGTCAGCCCGAAAATCGTTCATTTTCATGATTTGTGTACAAAACCTACGGAAAAGTCAGTTTTCCTAATAATAGATCAAACATGGGTTATTGGGTCTTGTTCAAAGTTTAAGTGGTTGTTTTGGCAGTCAAAAAGTTGCATTGTAGTTAGAAATGAAATAAAACAACAAAAACAATGAAATACATAAGTTAAAAAAACAATGAAATACATTAGAAATTACCAAAAAAAGAGATAACATAAGTAATAAGCTCGCTCTTCCAATTTTTTGTTTTGTATTATTATTCCGAATGGTCTAATGAATGAAAAAGAATGCTTAAATATGAATAATATATGATTTATGGTTAAAAATATGATTTTTATGACCTTATTAGCATAAATTACCATTATGAGTAAATTTTTCAAAAAATTGAAATTTCCATAGACATGTGTGCAATGCCCCCCCCCCCCCCCCCCCCCCCCCGGCCGTACTAAGACCTCAAATAGCCCGGCCTTTTTATGGTTTAGGCACTGCCGGGCACTGGGCAGTGCCTTAAAAGGATGTCACACGTAGCAGTCCACTATTTCGACGTGCAAATCTAAAAGTCCCTAATAATAGGGACTTTTAGATGTGCACGACGAGAACGTGGACTGCTCGTGTGACATCCTTTTAAGGCAATGTGACGTCACTGCCAGTGCCTTAAAAGGACATCACATTGCCTTAAAAGGATGTCAGACGAGCAGTCCACGTTCACGTCGTGTAAATCTAAAAGTCCCTATTAGCTCACTAATGATTGACGGATGCTGTCACAAGATGAATGAGATCCGGGGCATTTTTTGAGGGTGGAACTTAGCAGGTCTGAGAAAATTGCTTTAAAACATATTTTAGAATCTATGAAATATATTTAGATGTTTGAAAAACAAGATATGAGTTGTATGCAGCCCTACACATCAACAGGAATCAACTTATATTTGGAGGTCACCCGACCTTTACGAAAGCCAAGGAATCGCAAACTTTCCGAAATGGTAAACTGGTATACAGAATTCTGAATAGCAATGACATGAATTATATTATTATTATTTTGCCCAAATTTATACAAACTCCTAGATCCTTTATAATGTTGCACTCAACAATGGCTGGGCTTTAGATAATAGCGGAATATGATCGCCAATATTTTCGACAATTTCAAGCCCGGTTCAATTTCGAAACATTCCGGTTAATCCTATAGAAATAACGTTCGGATTACGTAAAACGTCATTGTCAGGTTCGCATTGTTCACGCAGCGCTATTGAAATAAGAATAAAGAATTTGAATAAAATTACATGTGGTAGCGTAGGACAAACATTAGAGACCACTCTAACCCAACTAACATAGCCTTTCAAAACATTAATACGCATTTTCTTATTAATATTCCAGCCTCTGATGTTTCAGAAAATCTCTAAATTGACAAAAAATGATAATAACCATCCATTCTTCACAGATCTCACGCCTGCTGAGCTACGCCCCTTGAAAAAAGGGTAATAGTTATTACGGTCAAGTGGCTTGATGACGCATTTGACGTCATTGCGGGAATATCCGATTTTTCCTACAAAATAGATCTTACGATCTCATTAATTAGGAATGGCGAAATTGCCAGAAACGTACTGGGATTATCAAGTGCATATTATTTTTCGGATGAATGTTTTTTTTCTTCCTTCAATTAATATCATGGTTTGCCTTTTAAAGAAATGTTAATGCCTAAATAACCCTCCTTTTCACCGGAGAGTCTCCTGCAGTGACGTCCTATGCTATTGCGCAATACAGCCACGAAACTGGACTTTTTTCTGAGCGTTCTGAGTCGTCATGTTTAAAGGTAGATTCCAGAATTATTTATAATTTCTAAGAAAATAATTGTCACGTTCGGAATCTCCGTCATAAATTATTCTAAATGTTTTTGTTTTTCCCTTCATTTTGTTAGCCTGTTTTGGTTAGAGTGGCCCTTTAAAGGCCCACTGCACTACTGGTAGCTACTTGCGCCCTCAATTATAACAAACAATGCCTAATCGGTGACCATTAGTCCCCCATGATCCTCTTTTTCTTATGTTAACTGAGAGCTGAGTTGATGAGATAACCACCTGTCCAGTGACCTTGCAGAGCGGTCTAATCCCTCCTGTAAACTACGGCAGATAAGCTTTAAGGCTTGTCTTAGCTAGCATCAATTATTGAATACAATATTATTCGTAACAGGTGATTGAAACGAGGCACTTATAAAAGTGTGCATTAAATTATACATTTCAAAAATGGTCTATTACATTACTTGATTATCGAAACTAGTTGTCATCGTGTTAGTTATTGGCTTGGCATCAGAAATGGCAAGATGAAGGTTGAATTCTTGAAAAAAAGACTTTTATGAGCTGGTTTGATTTCCGATCCAGCTTCCGTTGGGAAGCACACCAAAACGGATATAGGTCGAAGCGTTGTATGACTACTGCTACCTAAACATTATCATTCTTGGAAGTATATAATATCACGCGATATAATTCTGAACATTGTTCATACCTGTGCCATAGGTCTCCATGCAACTGATGTCACAACCGGTTCAGAACTGTTTAGTATACATTTTTTCTGGATATAAATCGGAACTACGGATATAAAGGTTTCAACGTGATCAATAGACTAGCGAAATGGAGAGACGCCTTAATACGATGAGCGTTAATGAGTGTTTTCAAATTTAGTTACCAAACAGTGTCTAAACAGTGTCTAGTAATGCCCTTATTGCATTGTGAGCGGCTTCATTCTGTTTGAGAGGATCTTGCTTGTATATTAACATTATTTTGTGATTAGGAACATGCCTAGAGCGAGGAGAACTTCGTTCACGTCAAGTTTAGACGTGAATTCCTTTTCTACCGATGTTTACACTTTGGAGAAGACCGGGCGGGAGGTTGCCCGAGGCCGGTGGATCACAGTCGAACCTCTGCTGATTCTCTCCAACATGGCTAGCGCCGGTCTCCTGGTGACGAGGTTGCAGTACCTCCGCGCCCGCATCGCGCATGATAAATTCAACCAGACTTCTGATTATGGCGCTAACGAGTCATCGGAATGCGACGCAGCCATCCAGAATAGCAGTAGTATTCAACTGCAGCAGGCGATTCAAGTCGAGTTATCGCTTTATTCGCTGATCTTGAACGCACTTAGTACTTTTCCCGCCATTTTCTCGACGATACTCCTTGGATCACTCAGCGATCGCATTGGACGGAGGATCGGTCTCGTCGTGCCGATCATTGGTCTGGTCATTCAGTGCGCGCTTTACGTCACCATCTTCTACGCGCATCTACCAATATGGGTGTGTTTTGTTGCTGATACGTTACAGGGCCTTGCAGGTATATCATGCATGCCTTCATTTTCTTTGTAACTATGGTAACAATGAACCAAACAACATTAAGGCCTTTTCAGACTTTTCGCATATCTTAACAAGCGCGTAATAGCCAACAACAATTTTTTTAATAGTAACATTGTGATATTCTGATTTCAGCCATTTTTGAATGCCTAAAACGCTTCAACTTTCTTCGCCCCCCCCCCCCCACCCCAAACAAAAAAATAGATGCATGAATGAAAAAAACAATGACGTCTTCAGCTAGTATACAGGGTGGCCAAAACAAGAACTCTACACCAGAGATCTGCAATTCCAACGTCATGATTGGCACAATGTCATCGATTTATTAATTTTGGAAGGAAATTCGTTTCCAAACAAAATGACACCAAGATCAACAATTTGGGGTAAGGCGATTTGAATCTATGGCTATTCTGTTGCTACCTTCTTTGCAACCGTATATAGTCATGCTTCAAGCAGGGAGAAATTTGCGCAGGATGACTACCCACACGATCAGCTGTGGTGATAAGCAGTGAGTCATTATACAGTGCGTCCCAGAAACAAACGAAACCGAGAATTTGCAATGTTTTATCATAACTTAATCACAATATAATTAATAAATGACACATATTTGTAAAGGTTAGATCCTCCTCTTTCATTTTGTAGCAACAGACACAGTCTTTCGTCAACTCTGTTTGTTGCTACGGCAGGCAGCCAATGAACGCGAATTCGTTTTTAAATCAAATTATGTAAATGCAAGTATTACCTTAAACAAACAAAACTTTGTTATTCCTGGCTCATTTTTCCTGATTGAGGTGTCATCTGAAAGGGCAAAAAATGAACTTACTAGAAGTGTGATTTTCTCTCTGAATTCAGATACAGCTCGCCAAATGACGTTTTGGTCCTCTCTTCAAATTGTTTTTAATCATTCATGCATGAAATATGCATCACTTGAGTTGCATCATTATGAAAGAGGAGGAGTTAACCTTTATAAATATGTGTCATTTTTTAATTATATTTGCGATTAAGTTATGATAAAACATCGACAATTCTTGGTTTCGTTTTTCTGGGACGCACTGTATATCGTTGAAATGTGTAGATCTTAGGTGTTGCCGTTTTTTTTTTTGCCCACCCTGTATATGTCTGGACTTTGATAAAAGGAAACATAGATCGATCATGGGATGTTGGTTTGTTATTGCCAAATTAATGTAAAAGAATTTCACCTTAATCAGGAAGGGCATTAAAGATATTTTATCCCTTTTGCAGCCAACATCAAAGTCTGTAGAACTTTGCGGGAATTATGAATATATCTGTCCTAACTGTGAAATTTAAACGTTAGCAGTTGAAATTATGCAAGGGAACCCGTTTAGTTGATTGCAATCACTTTTGTTGATTCGACAACTATTGGTCATTATTTCCCCACAAAAAGCCATTTTCAAACCCTTTTGTTTTGAGAGAAGTTCTAAATAATTATTGTCTTTCAAATGCCGTTGGAATTTAATCTTTACATTTTGATGACATGCAAATGGAACATAGCACCTTTAAAGATGGTTTTCTTTTAATAACGGTAACAAAATTATGTGGCGGAGTATCCCCATTGTATGTGAAGTCATGGTTGAAATATTTCTTCATCCAAATGGATTCCTGATTCAACTCAGTCTAACTTTACATGAAATTCTCATTCCAATTTTAAGGAATCGTCCTTTTTTCGTTATAATAAACAATTTACAATTTTGTAGTTCAGGAATCATAGACTATATTTTACTTTAATGAGAATAATAGAGATAACCTTTCAATCATAGATATCATCAAACTACATGAATTGTCTCAAAGCAATTGTGTATAAATATTTCACATTTCACCTGTCTTTCAACAACGTTCAGCAAAATATTTGTAGAAGATCAGGCATTAGGGACTTTTAGATTTGTACGAAGACAATGTGGATTGCTACGGTCGACGTCCTTTTAATGCACTGCCTTGAATGGACGTCACACGTATCAGTCCACGCAAATCTAAAAGTCCCTATTCATTTCCATACCCTCCCTTTTCTCTTAGAAATATGGTTAAAGAACTTTTTTGCAACGATCACCTCAAGGGGACCGGATATTCTTTGTCTATGTGAGATATAATATAACAATCTTAAAATATCATGAACTTCCTCCCGAAATGTTGCACTTCCGTCGAAAGGTTAAGCCGTCATTTCACCTGGGACTCTACATCCCCTTTCCTTCTCCCCTCCCCACCTACCCAGGCCCCTTGAAATATCTGCGTCAGCTGTGAGTCGAAAGTTTCCTCTTGAAATGGTTCGCTTCCGCCAAAAGGAAGGCTATTTCATGACCCCTTGACCCCACCCCTCAAAAAAGAAGAAGAAAAAAAAAAGACCTTTAGTTTGTATTGAGACCGACTAGCAAAACTACAAAGATGGAAGCATTAATGTAGAACGTATATACAAGCGTACTAGCGTACAAGCGTACTAGAATTAAAGTATTATCATTTAACTTAATCATAGAACTTGTGAGAAATGTAGAGAAACTGGATGCAGTTGCATGGGTTGTTCTTTTATTTTGTTAACTCGGCAGAGGCCACGGTCATGTTCAAGCATTTACGCTTACGACATGTGGTCTCCTGCTTTTCCTTTTGTATGAAACTTTTATTTCAACTAGAAACAAATTTTGTCAAACTTACATGTTATTCATTATATTTATTTGTATTTTTCTTTGTATTGATATGAAAAAGTGGAAATAAAACAAAACGAAACAAAAACAAAAACAAAATATTAGCTCCAGTCAGATATAACGCTTCTCATCCTCGTTGCGATGGTCATGTGACAGCATTTCGACCAATCGCACATCAGTATCGATATAGACAATTTAATATATTAAAATGTTCCATGTTTAATTGGCTGATTATTTACTTTAAAGACCAACCACTTGTCATTTCGCTGATCTCGCGTTCAGGTGGATATGGACTTTTGCTCAGTACAGCATCAGCATACATCGCTGACGTCACTAGTGTGGAGCAGCGAACATGGCGTCTCGTCATTGCGGAGGCGGCGCTTGTTCTAGGCTCCGGAGTTATCCAGCCAATCAACGGCTTCATTATACAATACTGCGGTATAGGCGTGGCCTTCTGCACTTCACTAGGCGTGGCGTTGCCAGGGTTACTTTATGCTGTTTGTCCATTGACCACGCCCGAAACGGTAGAGGAAGATACAGAGGAAACTTTGGGTGAATACATCAAAGGTGAAGAAATTGATTATCCTTATTGCAAATTTTCTCTTATAGTGGATACGTCGCCGGACTGCCGATCACAAGGTCCGCGGTTCAAGTCCCGACGCTGCACTAATGTCCTTTGGCAAGACATTGATCTACATTTGCCACACTCCACCCAGGTGAAGTAAATGGGTACCTGGTAGGAATGTATTCCTTGAAACGCAGCGCGCGTAACAGCTGCACTAATAAAGCCAGGGTAATTATGCTGCATTATAATTGTAGAGCGCTTAGAGACTTCTGACAAAGTAAGTGTTAGGCGCTATATAAGCACTGTAATTATTATTATTATTATGTTTTTGTGTGTTATTTGAATTGAATTTAAATATGGAATTCAATGTTTTCTATGTCATTATTTTCAAACATGGATTTTTCTATCCAAGAATGTAAATTTCATACTATTTTCTATTAATTGCAGTAAATGATTTGAACATGTACGTCTACATGATCAGATGAAATTAATTTTAACATTTTGAATTCATACAAAACATAACTGAGATATAAAAGGGTTACAACGTGTGTCCATACCTGAAACTCGATTATTTTGCTTACAACCCTTTTTGTTTTCGTTCTTCCAAAGTTTTTAAGTTTGTATATTGATGAATTATCGGAAACAGTGGACTCTGGTATAATAGAAGTGGCTGCTGAGAAGTCTGCCATCCATACTTTAAGTATATACTTTAAGTATGGATGACAGACGTAACTTGCGTAGCCCGTAATGTCTGTTTACAACAATAATTTGTGTATGATTATGATCACCAACTTCCTGGCGACTAGCACTGATCATTAGTTTCAACCAACAACAATATATAATGACATTATCTAAAAAATAAAATTGTCTATCCAACCCCCAAAAACTTTTCTTGATCATAATTTAAAAACTCATGTTGATCGCAGAACCCCCAAGCCACCCCCCCCCCCACAAGTAGTAATGATAAATAAAAATATATTTATGAATAAATTATATATAAAATCCTAATAATCGCGATTTGCATGATGGTTCATTTTTATTTCATACAGATATCTTTCGCGGGATTTACCGCTTGCTTTCCATCAACGTCAACGGCAGACGTTGGAAGATCGCTTTCCTCTTTATCGCCGAACTCTTCTTGAATACCGTGATCAACGGGCTTCAGATCGTCCCCACCTATGGGCTCGGTCCACCGTTCTGCTGGGGCCCGAGTATTGTGGGCTATTTTACCGCCGCTGTGGCTATCTTACCCGTCATCGGTACTACATTCATTTTATTTTTCAATAAACTAATAATGAATTATAATGGATGTATTTTTCTTTCATAAACACAAAAAGGGATGTTATTAATGTTTATTTACATGTATTATGAATATTTGTTCATTCTTTAAAAAACACAACTTCATCCTGTGTATCATAACCGATGTATAAACGAATAATGATTGCATAACTTTCATGATAAATGTACCCAGCATTCGTAATTTTCTTTTCGATGTGTTTTTCTGTTTTATACAAATTGTGTTTATTTCCCCCATCGCAGATAGTATATCCGAAATGGTTTCGGTTTAAAAAAATACTAATCAACAGAACTAGCCTGCATCACAGCTACACAATTCGGAAAATCTAGCTTAAAGGAAATCTATGGTAGCCCAAAAGGGACACCATGAAATTGCAGATAATTCGCGACCAAATTCAAAACGTGGCAAATTTTAAAATTCGCGACGAAATACGCGACGTCGTGAGTTTCGTCATGAATTATTCGCGACAGAATATGTCGCGTCGCATATTTCGTCGCGGATTTCGTCGTGAATGTTGTTCGTTCATTTGGTATTCTATTACTCTGTTCTCTTTCTCTCCCTCTATCTTTATATTTCTCACTTTCTATCCCCTCTTTCTCTCTCTCTCTCTCTCATTCCCTCTTATTCTCTCTATCCTGGTACATTTTGGAATGTAACGATTTAGGATTTAGCGCCTGTTGAAATTATACTCTCTTCCTTATTTGTTCTCATCCTCTTTCGAGGTATTCGAGGTAACATAAAAACAAAATCAAAGTTTTACAGCAACCATTGAACTGTACTCTATATCTTGCCATATGCACAGGTGTAACAGTAGCTGTGAAACTGTTCGGAATTTGTATGGATGATTTGTGGATGATCTTTTGCGGAACGCTGGCCATGGCAGCCTCCTGCGTGGCGACAGGTGTAGCGCCCTCTACGCCGTATCTATTCATAGGTAAGAGTGAATTTGTCGTATATGTGTTTATTTGTTTATTCCGTTTTGGTAAACGAATATACAAGAATAACAAGATATATAAATCAAATAATTTACATAAAATGATGTAATAAGTTTGTATCAGAGGCAAAATAGAATTATGACGAAGAAAAGGTTTTGTTGAATGGCTGCATCTTCCACTGACTCCTTTGTGCCTGCACCTTTCATCTTTTATTATTATTATTATAATTATAATCATGGTTTCCTTCGGAAACATTAAATATATTGAATAAAGGTAACTACTCACACAAGATACTAATACTTTTTATCATTTGTTTAAAAAATCTTTATATAGCACTGGTTCCATACAGCATAGGATGTCTCATCTCGCCTGTTATGAAAGGAGTCCTTTCTAAACTCGTGGATGAGCACGAACAGGGTAGGTTGGCCTGATAGGAATTAGAGTGATATTTAAAGAAGAATTTGTCTGATGGTGATGAGGAGAAGTTTTTTGATGATCATAATGACGACAATGAAAGGCCTATATGATGATGAGGATGGTGATGACAATAAAGAAGACGATATTGATTGATGACGATGGTGGTGGTAGTGATGTTGGTGTTGGTACAATTGTAGTGATGATGATGGTGATGATGATCGATTTGACAAAAAATGCTTAATGATAAAAGTAATGATCATGTATTGTGGCAATTACGAAAATGAAAATCAAGATGTCAAGAAAATTAAGTTGATAACATTTATGATTATGATCATCAATAGCATGATCATGTTGATGATACAAATTACTGTAATAGTCATCATGATGAATTTATACTTTACTTTCTAATTTCTCATTCATATCTACAACAGGGTCTGTCTTTGCTCTGGCTGGTTGTATGGTGAATATATCTCAGTTCGTTGGACCGGTTCTGGCAAACGCCCTTTACGCTTCAACAGTGTCATTCTTTTCGCCTCTAGCATTTTACGTTTTGGCTGGACTATTGATTTTTCCTACAATTCTGAACGGGTAAATTCCTTTCTCTTCTAGTTAATCACCTATAAGGCATACTGCAATTATCATGCAGTACCTTTTGATGGTTTGAATTTATCGAGAACAAAATAATGATGATAATGATAATGATAAAGTGCTAATATAAAATGTATTTAGTCTCAATAAAACGCCGGGTCAAAACGGCTTTCACGACCACAATATTGCATAAGATTCCCTGTCAATATAATTCCTCATATCTCGTCAAATTTTGAGCGTAATTTCTCATCGGCACCAATATCAAAGATACCTGCTCATAACTCTTTCATCGTTTTTCATGAAGTGATTGTGAGAACATTATTTATTCTTGATAGATAAAGTTTATTTCTTCTCAGAACTGAATTAATGAACTGAATCTAAAGAGTCATAGAGATGATCACTAAAGTTCTGAGAAGATATAAACTTTATCTATCAAAAATTAATCATATTGTCACAATCTCTTGATGTAAAAAGCTAAGAAATAATCATTCCAAGTTGATGTGCAACAGTATATATTAAATTTGAGGCCATCTTAGAAGGCTGACAGTCCAAGAGGCCGACATCTTAAGAAACCGACATCCCATGAGATCGACAAAACAAAGTTAGACATAAGCGATTTAATATAGAAAAATAAATGTCAGTTTTATGGATCTTTGTTCTAGTGCCTAGCTTTTAAGTAGGTTCACTTTTCTTTTCCGTAGTTAATGATTAAGAGAACTTTCTTTCATAATTATTCATTAGTATAATTTAATTCAATTTAATTCCATACAATTAAGACATTTTTTATCTAAACAAGTGTTAGTGTTTTGTAAAAATGTATTATGCTTTGTCATTTTAAATGGCAAAATTCTGCAACCAATCAATCATTTAAACAACAGTTGAACCATCTGGAAATGGCTAGAAGGCCTACGAGTCTGATCGTCGGTCTCTAGGGCTGTGGCCATTAAAGCCTCCCTATTCATGAACGAAAAAATCACAAGACAGTGCATGATGGTTCTCCAATTAAGAACGTTATAATATACATCTTTCTTCGTTGTACTCTTTTGCAGGATTGTTCAAAGTTATGGCACGGAAACTCACCTAGGCTACACGCAAATACCAGGTGATGACGATGGTTGATAAACAGAGACAGCGTTCAATTCGGATGGCATCCACTGGTTTCCATAGTAATCAGGAGCATCATCAGCATCATCGATGTCAAAACAGAGCTCATCAATTTGTGTCAATTTAGTGCATCCATCTCGGCCTCCATGTTGGTTTTTGGATGGATTCCCTAATCTCTTGGAGAAGAGTTTTGTGGATACATCATTTATCAAAAATTACGTTTACATCTTATTGTATAATGTAGCTCCGGTAGTCACGGTGAAAGTTGCCCGATGCGCTCCAATATTAGTCGGCTCCAGCTAGGCTACTGATTTTGGTACTCAATTCAACACCTTAGGTGGAGAGAGCAGTTCAAAGGCTAGGCAAAGTTAAAGGACCCTAGTGACGCGTGGGGGCTCGAACCCAAGACATTCGTCGCACCTCCTGTATATAAACCACTCGACTACGACGCAATATATCAAGAAATATATCTTTTTATACTATTTATACATACATTTATACTTAAAAGAAAGTTTTTAAAAAAGGAATAGCGCTTGGCGTAATATATTTTTTTTAATGGGGTGCTTGGGTATAGCGCTCATATCTGTCAGACTTGACACTCCTGGCGCTCCCGATTATAACCATGGCTTTGGCGCTCTAGCAGTTCAAGGAATTAATTCGTGCCAGGGACCTATTTGCATCACCTGGGTTGAGCGTGGCAAATGTAGATCAATGTCTAGCCAAAGGACATTAGTGCCGCGGCTGGACTCGAATCGTGGACCTTGTGATCCACTGTCCAGTGACGTATCCATTTGACCACGACACCCTCTATCCAGACCTAACTTTGAACCTTATATGATCATTATTCTGAAGGTTATGTAGGCCTTTAGGGCCCAGCCTAAAACTGTTTCGGAGATTTTTCATATTTGATTATTGTTTAGTAACATTGTTTCGCGAGTGCCGTATTTAACTCAACCGTTGGCGCCCCCTTCTATTAAATTGTCTAATTTCGTGAATAGCTAAGTCATTTATTTGTAGGAAACTATACAAATAATTCCACGCGTCTCTATCCCCCTTCTCAAACGCACACTCAAACGCACGCACATACAATCATATACACGATATTTCCTCACTCTTTCTCTATCTACTCATCTCTCATTCCCTTGATCTCTCTCTCTCTCTCTGTCTACTGTACTCATCTCTCTCTCTCTCTCTCTTTATCTACCACTCTCTCCCTTGCTCCCTTTCTATCTACACATCCTCTCTTTCTCTCTCTCTCTCTCTCTCTCTTCTCTCTTTTTACCCAGCGCTCCTTTTCAGGACTTCCTCCCTTCTCACATGTGAAACCGTAAACCAATTAAACATTGATGCAGTATCTATCTCATTATTCAAGGACATTTGATTGTCCTCTAAATGCGTCCGTCTCGAAGACTGATCAACTGGTATTCTTTCATACATGAGATATAGGAGGGTTACAATGTTTGCCTATACCTGAAATAAACTTGATTTGCTTATAACCCTCTATTGTACTCATTGTTTCAAAGTTTGTAAATGTATATATTTGATGACAGAGAAGAATATACAACAAGCTCTATTTTTGTTGTTGTTGCAATCTACACGTTTTATTCAGTACTGCTACATGACATGAACATAATGAAGTGTAGAGACATAAATTATTTGAGTCCCTGAAACTGAAAAAATTATGACCTCATGGCGAGCATAAAATCATAAGAAGTGACGGTGCTAGATTTACTAAGAATTAAATACTATTTTGCACTAAATGCTTCATGCACTATTGAACCATTAAAAGCAATACATGTCATCTTTTGACTGATAAAAGTCTACAAATCAAAATTGTACATGTACTCAGTTTCTATTGCTGTATAATTTAAAGAGATATATCTTGTATGGTGCTCATGATTTTGTGCAGTTCATCTCACTCCGTGTATGCGAATGTAAAAAAATTACAAATTGAAATTCTGAATACAATGATTATGTAAAAAGATGGACGTACTTATCATTTTTCTTATCGCTTGTATGTAAATTTCACCTTTTCTTCCTCTTTGTTTTTGTTTGTTTTTTATACATTAAAATTGATGAAATGTTCAGCAAATTTTCAGCTTGAAAATAAAATTCCATGTACTAAATACAGACCCGTTTTTTCTCAAAATCGTACAATGATTTCTTTTCAGTGTTATTTTCCTTAGCCCTTCATGAATATAATAAGTACACTTCAGCCTAAATTTCTACATTGATCAATTTACACTTTAAAAATAACCATTATCATATAAATACAAATAACATGCAAAGTACAGGCATTCATAATAGTGAGAGAATTGTATTGCTAAGTATCTAATGAATATACACAAAAATAGAAGGATGGAATTTAATAGAAAAAAGTAAAATCCTGAAAAAAAATGAATGTTTTTCTCAGCATTCTCAGCCACAATTAGTATTGAAATGAACCTTACCTCCCCTTAAATAAATAACAAAATAAAACACATGGTTTGTTGAGAGAAAGAAGGGTGTTAACTCAATGTCAAGCCTGTGTTACAGGGTATAAGTCAAGGCCCTTTTGGCTCTGAACAGTTGTTGTATCAGCCTAAGATTCAGCCTGAGAATTCAGAAGTAGAAAGACATTTCAGCAACTCTTGAGCATATAAAAAGGCAAACTCCCCCCCCCCCCCCAAAAAAAAAAAATGAATTCCCAGATTCCAACTAATTAGTACGGTAACCAATGTCAATAGAAACAGAAAGCCTGTCATTTCTTATCAGATTGGTCAAATTTAAAAATAAAGAGAACAAAGGAGCAATTCCAATGGGAAATTGGAATAAAAGAAAGATAAAAAGAAATTTGTTGGTATTTTTTAAAAGGAAGATGTGACAAAACCGGATGTATTTTGAAAAGCTACAAATGATGCAAAATATAAATTGCTATGAAGTGAATTATAGTCTGAGTTTGTAAGATATCTAGAATTGGGTAAAAAGGGGAAAATTCATAGTTAGGAGGCAAGTCTTTCTACTTGTTTTTACAAAAGAAATGTGATAGGAAACTAGACCTAAATTGTATTTGGTAAAATATGATATAAATAGGGATGCCTTGCATTTGAATTGCTGACAGAAATCAAAATGGAACATATTTTTGTATCCATGAAAATTTAGTTGCAGCAGTGCATTGGGGCTTGGCAAGTTTCAATTTATTAAATGGAGAAGAGAATCGCATCATAAAATTGTTAAAATTCAATTAATATTGGTAATTACCTTATGAATAAAAAATTAAAGCATTAAAAAAAAAATAATTGGCTGCCCCGTATACTCAATAATTTAACTTTCAATCATTTATGGACATAATCTTGTTTGGCGAGATTTTCATCATAAAAAAAGGCCAGTGAATTGACATTTCAAGACAATTTGTTGTCCCACCGAGGTCTAAGATATCAACTTCAGTTTCTAGACAGGCATTTTCCAAGCACATTCAGCAATTGAGTATCACTGAAAATTTATTTTACAGATGTGTAGAAGACAAGTTACTTATATATGAGATTATTTTCATCAGGCATGTTCAATAGCCTTCATATAGAGGTTAAATTCCAGGTAGAATTATGCAAATAGTGCTTCTCAGAAGTTCCCTTGAGAAGAGAAAGACCTAGATTATTGTAGAGTGGCCTCTAGAGGGAGCTGTTGTCCTTATAGACGCTTGCAGAGGCACAGTGCACAGGCCATTCCCATCAACTGCAGTGAGAGGGAAGGAGAGAGAGAGAGGGGGAGGGAGTGGAAGAGGGTTAGGGAGAGGGTGAAAAGGGGAGAGAGAGAGAGAGAGAGAGGGGGAGGGGAGAGAAAGAGAGGTAGAGAGGGAGAGATAAAAAGGTCAGAGATACGAGACATAGAAAAGAAGAAATGGAGACAGAGAGAGAGAAGAAGGAAATGAAGGAGGGGGAGGGAATAAAAAAGGGGAGAAATATTAATTAATTACATGAAATAAAACCAAGCAAACATGTATCATTATAATAATGACCGTTAAGGTAATTCATACACATATTAAAACAGAAATTCATGTTTACCATAACGAAAGAAAGACAGAAATAAAAATCATTGTTTCACCGGGTACCTGACAAATGGGCTTAAGCAGGGAACTCTCTACCACTTCTGTGCCAACAAACCATTTTGAATGAAACGTGCTGGGGGGGGGGGGGGGGGGGTGTCTGACCAATTCGCAGAATAGTTAGCTGACAATTTTCGAAATGCGGTCAAGTTATAAAAAAATACAGTAGTCTGGTTTTCATCTTTGCAGACATTTGTCCATATCATTCTCTCACAGCAAAAAAAAAGGTCCTCAAGTTCTTTATATTCCCCGACGGCCTATAAAATTGTTGACTTTGCCGACAGAATTTTTTTAATGGGGTGTGTTGCATCCTTACTTCTGTTGGTCAATACCCAATTTCTTTGGTGAGTTTTGCCAGCCATGACTGACGCCTTTTTGTCGGGCACGTCACCTTTTTTTTTACTCTAAAATTCACTTACCTGAATGATGGCGACAACGATTCCCACGCCACCGAGAACAGTTCCATATTGTGCAACTTTATTCTTCACGCCTTCAGAACAACCCTGAGATAAAAGAAAGGAAATGATTAATTAAGTCCGACTGCACTACTTATAGCTCCTTGCGCCCTCTATACAGCAAACAATGCCTAAGTGGTGACCGTTAGTCCCCCATAATCCTCTTTTCCTTATGTTAATTGAGAGCTGACTTGATGAGATAACCACCAGTCAGTGACCTCGCAGGAAGGTCTAATCCCCCTGGTCAAACTAGTACAGACGGGCTTTAAGGAGGCATGATGGCTCGGTGGTAGAGTAGTGGTGTCATCAATGGGAGGTCCCGGGTTCAAAACCAAGTCAATGCGCTAGTGCCCTTTGGTAAGGCATTGATCCCCATTATCAAGCCACTCAGAGCAGACTTACAGCTGTCTGTCCCCTGGTTGCTTACTTGCAAGCTAACACATGCTTTATCAACAAACCAAACAAATTATAATGATAAGATTGATAATATGGATAATAATATTGATAGCATACAGAAGCCTGAGAAATAAGAAGAGAAAATAATTATGATAATATGATTCATAATTATGATGAAAGCATCACCAAATCGGAGACATTAAGAAAGATAATCATAATGATAAGATTGATAATTATAGTATTAGTATAAACAACCCTAAGACATAAGAAAAGAATTTTAATGAGATTAATTATCATGGCAGCATACAAAGGTAGTATATGGGGGATGTTTTTTGTGAATATTGAATTATATGTCATTACAAAAAAAGGACCCTTTTATGAAAGAGGGAAAAAATTGTTAATAAGTGTCATATTCTCAAGACGATCCAAACAAATGAAAGTTTTTGTTCCCTTTTTCACCCCAAAAAAGGGTACCGGTACTTTAAGAAAATGTGTACTTGATAGGCCCAAAATAGGGCAATATTTAAGGCCACTTTGTACCTTTTCACGCAAAACGGGTCATATTCTTGGAAAACGTTCTTAAAAGTAGGCCACATACGAGGTCATTCTTGATTCTGTTAATGATCAGGGGGGCGTTTCACAAAACTTGTCATCAGTGACAAATGACAATTTTTGTTATTAGCTACTGAAATCCTTGCTTCTGATTGGTTATCAGCATATTTGTCACTGATTTTTGTCATTTGTCATTGAAAAAAGGCTTTGTGAAACACCCCCCAAGAGTTAAACTTTTAAAAATGGAGCGTCATTTTTAGGCATCTTAGATAAAGCCAGTAATCATATGGGAGTTCACTATTATTATCAACTTCATTAATTTGATTGCAGCAAATTGTTATTCATATATTCATGTATCAGACTCTTACAATTTCCTTGACTTTGTATACTACCATGGTTATCTATCTGTTTTTTGTTATTTTATTTGAAATTCAACCTCAAGTTTTGGTTCAAAAAAGAAATAATAATAACATTTAAAAAAAAAATAGTGTGTGCGATTGGGTTTTTACAGAGGTGTATCAATCAGATATGATTAACTACATCTGGGGGCCGACCTTTTAAAACGTCACCATCCAACGCGACTCATTTCGAACCGGGGTCGGCGTGAGTCCATTTGACCTACTCACATCTCCCTATTGATTCCCGCTTTTTTCCTCATTAAAACAAGCACAATGTTATACTTTCTAAACATTAAAGATAAAGTTGAGTTCTGGTCATGCGATTTCATTGTGAAAGAAACGTTCTGGAATCATCAAAATGATAAAAAATTTGGCCCAGTCTTGGTAAAGTTACAAGCACTGTACACAGGAAGATGTATATGGGACTACACAAACATGTGGCGTCAAATCTGTCCCGATTTTGTATGGTGTACATGCCATATTTAGAATACTAAGGCATTTGAAGAGTCATACTTTTCATGGATCATTTTTTATCTGATGTTCTTCCACACTTGCATAATACAATGAAAACGCTCACAAATTGTTTTTCACCTCTTCCCAGAACTCAACCTTCTCTTTAAATCAATAGTGTACCTGGTTGTAGATGTACGTGGCGTAGTTGCTTGTGGCCTGTTGACATACATCAAGACTGTCTTGGTCCATGCAACAAGATGCAGGCACGATATTTTTAGGTGAGTCAGTCTGGTTTTTGTACCACGTGGATTTCTCATAGAGGGTCACAGCTGAAGAGGCATTGCCCATTACTCCGCAGCATTCAAACTGTTGAAGAGAAAATACAAGTATTAGAACAGGTTAATAATAATAGGCATTTATATAGCGCCGTCTATCTAGACAATTCTATTCTGAGGCGCACAAGAAAAATGGAAAGAATAAGAGAGTTTGGATGAGTGTCATAGTGTCATTCATCTTGAATTTAAAGGTCTCTAAGGAAGTTATGATTCTCAAATTAAATGGTAAATTATTCCAAAGAGAAGGTGCTGCAGCTGAAAAGGCCCTTTCACCACAGGCTACTTGCGTCTTGGGGATCTTAAGCATATGCTGGTGTGATGATATTAGACTACGAGCTGGTGTATAAGGCAGGTTCTCATTAATGAAGGATGCAAATATAGATTTTATTATAATAGGGATTATTGATATTATTATCATTGTTATCATTATTATCATTATCAGTACAATTATCATCATTATCATAAACATTGTCATTATCATCAGTATCACTATCATTGGTATTATTATTATTATTATTATTATTATTATTATCATTATTATTATTATCATTATCATTACTATCTTTATTATTATTTTAATTAGTATCATTATTACTTCTACTAGTAGTAGTAGTCGAAGTAGAAGTGGTAGTAGTAGCAGTATTACTAATATGATTACTATTATTACTATTGTTATCTATAGTATACTGCTAGTACTTTTGGCAACTCAAGAAATAGCATTTCATGTTAAAAACTATTCTTCATAATTAATGAATGAATATTTTAAAAAGAGCTTCAGAGAATATAATAATGTGATTATCAAGAATATTACCATAACTATTATTATCATTATGATTATTATTCTATTTTTAAAATTTAGATGAAACAATCAATCCATTTTTGTATATACAGAATGGTATATAAACAGGGGAGTGTTTCACAAAACTTGTCATCAGTGACATATGACAATTTTTGTTATAAGCTACTGAAATCCTTGCTTCTTATTGGTTATTAGCAGATTTGTCACTGATTTTTGTCATTTGTCATTGAAAAGAGGCTTTGTGAAACAGGCCCAAGGACTTACTGAGGATTGGATGAAGTCCCAGGAATTTGTGATAGCCACGTCTCCACCATCCTCCCCTCCATAGTTGTTCGTCAATGTCCTGTTCAAGTCCTTCACAACATCAGTCTATAGAGGGCAGCAAACATATGTTATATGATTCAGGGAAGGGAAGGAAAGAGGCTCAAAGGTAATGGATACAAGATTTGAGTTACAGTCTAACTGTCTATAGCGAACCCCCCAGGGAAACACAAAGTTGTCTTTATAGACCGGTGGTCTTTGTCAGACAGATTCCTTTAGTACGTATTTTTCAATTAAAAGCCATTTTCATGGGAAACAAAAAATATGGTCTTTGTAGACAGGTGGTCACTAAACTTGGTTTGAATGATTGATATGATTTGACTGCGTTAGAATTCAGTATTGCAGCTAAAACATTATAAAATGCACAATGTGAAATAAATAGATAAAGTACGATACATTTACTTTAAATGCACAGCTAAACAATGGCTAATTGATGAATTAAAAAATGGACTCATACTTCAGCTATAATAATACTTTTGTGATAAAAGAATCTCAGGGGAGAATGAACTACAAAGCATTAATTATTAAAATATTATAAATATTTACCATCAAATCCATGGCTTTTTAAAAGTACACACTATGAACAAGTGACATGATATAATTGGCTTATTTTATTTATTATGTTATGCACATCTATAGAAGCTATTTATATCAGCCAAAGTTCAAAACTGATTTCCTCTCTTCAGTTAGGGGGGTCTGGGGTGTGCCATCCCCCGCTGAAAGGCCAACAAAATATCCCAGCCATTAAAGATAAAGGGAGATGGTCTTCGGTTTCCATGTGCAGAAGGCCATAATTCGCTGACACCAGACTAGGTGGAAAAATACCATTAACAGGTGTACAAGTCTTTGCACAGCGAACCTGTGGGCCAATCAAGAAATACACCCTAGCTAGTCTCCTGGAGGGTCTTCCGGGGAGGGAAAAGTCACAGCATTACGTAAGGTCTCTTATAAAACTGAAGGCTAATCCTGGTGATTGACAAGTGACGACACCTGTTATTGGGTAAACACCTGAACGGTATCGAATCCTCAGCCCACCTCTACTAGCATGCGTCTTTAATATAGAAATCTACTTCTGACCTTAAACGGCAATCCAACCTTCATAAAAATTCCCTTTTCTTTTGGAGTAGGGTTGGATTTGCCTTTCTATAACGTAAATTGAACAATATAGCACTGACCTTGACGTAAAAATAGAGGGCGATGCAGCCAGCAGCCAGCTCAATAATGAAAATGACAACCAGGAAGAAGACGTACTGTGGATAAAATCAAAGAAATAAATGTCAAAGTCGACGTAAACCCACTGTTTTCTATATTGGAACACAGGTGGTATCGCTTTATATTGTCTTGCATGACAGAAAGAAATTTCACGAAGAAAAGGGGTAATTTTCAGGAATTTTAACAAAGGTTTGGAAACAACAATACCTACTGTACTTTTTCATGGTTCACTTTTTCACTTATGGTTAACCTTTTATGTGCCAGCAAGTTCCCAAACACTTATTAAAAAAAACGTATCAGGCTGTATGTAAATTTTGGTCTCATTTTTAAAGATTTCACAATAAGTATCATCCATATACATAGCATGTAGTAGTAGTAGTAGTAGTAGTGATTATTTTACCTGACTGCTAAGAAAGCACAAATGCTGGTTAGTAAGCAACCAAGAACCGACGAATGTTTGTATCCTTTTGCGAATTTGTACCACCACGAATTGAGCAAAAACAATTTTTGTTCAAAATTTATATTAAACGCTTTTTTACATTCTTGGTCTTCAATTGCGATGAAACAGATTAACTTCCCATAATTTGAAATAAACGATGACCTACCATTCCGAGACAGCATTTATTTTCCATCTTGGCCCCGCAGAACCCAAAGATGGATACGATCATGACGAAGACGCCGGCGATGAGGAGGATGTAGGCCGCGGTGTGGTGGAGGTTGTCGGTCAAGATGGCGGTCAGATGCTTGGAGTCCTTGTCAACCAGAACCCAGATACCAAGAGCCATAAGAATGACGCCTCCTAACTGAAAGAGAAAAAAAATGGAGCAATAATAATAATAATAATAATAATACATAACATTTATTAGGCGCTTAATACAGGTGTTTCTAAGCACACCATTGTCTGACTTAAAATCACCGACTAAAATTTGTAATAAACACAAAAAATATAATCTGTTCTTTATTCAATAAATCATGCATATATAATAACAAAAATAAAAATGAGAGCAAACATAAGGTCAAACATATGATCAAACAAAAGATCAAACAAACAAAGAATAAGATTGTGTGCACCTCCTTTGACCGACTTACAACTGCAGTATAGCATTCATGAATTCAAAAGGTGGAAGTCACAAAGAATGATGACTATGATTTGGTATCGTGCACATTGTAATTGTTGTGGTACTATATGAACAACACCAATAGTTCATGAGACCGGGATTTGCGGAGGGATACCAGAATAAGGCACTTTCAAGATGGCAAGTTATACATGGACATTGTTTACAACGATCTCTTATTTATCTGTCCATCTGATCATTCAACAGTAATAATGGTCTATTTTTGTATAGCGTGCATCATATGGGAATCTGGCTGCAGTGCATGCGATGGGGTTTGTCAGTCAGATTCGCAGTAAAGGTTTATTATTATGACCATTTGTTGTGTGTTTCTGAGGGATCGTTTATCCAAAGGTTCATAATTCCAAAAGTAAAATAGGGTTCATAATTCCAAAGATTCATAATTTTGAAATGACAAAGGGTTCATTGATCCAAAGGTTCATAATTCTGAAAAAGAAATAGGCTACACAATTCCAGAAATAAAATATGTTTGGTTATTCTGAAGATTCATAATTCCAAAAAATGATAGAGCCTCCTCTGTCATTTTTTGTAATTACGAACAGCTTCTGGTATTACTGTACAGATATAGTGAAGTTATTATTTCAAGGGTATTTTCAAAGTGTGTATTTTTATGATACATACTATAGAGGACCCATATACTATTGGCAATTTAATTTAAACTTACCAAGAAGAAGAAGTTGAAGAAGCAGAGAATTCCGCGGCAGAAGTTTCCGCCCCACGAAAGCTTTTTCTTCAGGTCACCCATGATTTTGATAATTCCTCTCCTTCAAGAGCTTGATAAAAACTGAAGAGAAAAGAGAGAAAAGAGAGTTAAGAGACAGCAGACAAATTAGCAATTATAGTTTATTTTATTAAAGGTAAAGACCAGTATTGGAAACGCCCCAATTTCAAAAAATGAAATGGAAGCTCTCATTACCAATCATGTTGAAGAATGTTTTGAATAATACATGATCATAACAAATTTGCCGGGAAACCGCCTACTAATTCATATATTTGGTAAATTTGTTTCTCTCATGGTCTGTGAGAGATATAGGGTAGTCCCATATACATCTTTCTGTGTATAGTGCTTGTAACTTTACGAAGAATGGGCCAAATTTGTTATCATTTTGATGATTCCAGAACCTTGCAGATGCTAGATGCTAGATGATCAACCTTTTCTGATCGATTCCACAACGTTTCTTTCACAATGCAATTGCATGACCATAACTGGTCTTTACCTTTAAAGCCTTGCTTTGAAAATGGATGATGAGGGTTGTGTTTCCGGACACTTAACAAACATATTAATAATAATAATAATAATAATAATACTCAGTTTTTATATAGCGCTTTTTAGAATCGCTAAGCGCTTCCAAACTTGGAGATTATTACCCGGCTTTAGCTGTGCTGCCATTGCGGCGCTCTAGCATTTCAAAGAATTAATTCCTGCCAGGTACCCATTTACATCACCTGGGTTGAGTGTAGCAAATGTAGATCAACATTAAGGCTGCACAACAGTGTAATGAGGTACCCGAGTACACTCCCAAGCTTCCAAGCGAATACTCGATTATATTCGGAAGCCATGTTTTTTTTTGATTTTTTTGAATTTTTTGATTTTTTGATTTTTTTTTGCTGCCGAATATTCGAGTACGAGAAATCGTACTCGAGTAGTTGTCAACAGTGCGGGTACTCGAGCATTCGACTACTCGTCGCAGCCCTAATCAACATAGAGACTTCTCTTTTGCCTTCTGATTTAGAACAGAAAATATAGCACTAACCATCATGAATATTTGTCCTTCATTACATTGTCCAACATACATGTATGTCTCAGGAGATTTATGAAATATTGCTTTTTCAAATCAACTGTCCGGATACACAACCTGTTGGAACATACAACCTCCAGGGTTTACACGAAAACGCTGCAGTTGCCGAATCATTCCTGAACAAGGCCTAAGGCTAGGACCTATCAAGTGGAATACAAATCCTAGTGAAGACGGCCCTCTGTTTTAGATGCTGCAAATACATACAATGGAAGGGTATTTTCTAAAAGAGCATGAAGGCTATCCACACCAGCCCCTTGAAACGTTACCTCAAAGCCAGGCTATATGTCTTTTGAATCTTGGAATATTTTGAGTATTGATCTTTCTATCAAATTAAATTCATGACTATGATATCTGGGACCTGTTTCATAAAGCCTTTTTTGCAATGACAAATGAAAAAAAAATAGTGACAAATCTGCTGATGACCAATCAGAAGCAAGGATTTCACTATGTATATAACAAAAAGTTGTCATTGTCATTTGTCACTGATGACAAGTTTTGTGCAATGGGGCCCTGATCCATAGATATATCATGTAGCCTGATGATGGTCACATTAATCAGCAAGAATGTCTGGAAACTATAGACTACATGAATGAAAAGATGAACTACATCTCATCAGCACATGATACAAGGCCATTGAAACATTCATCTTTGGTTACATGGCTTCTATGGTATGCTGCTGGGACCAACCAGTGCAGTATCAAATTATGATACGGTTGTGTATTAGTTTATCATTAAAAAGCTAGTATCACCCTGTACATTTATAATCATGAGGCATATACATGTATAACTGAATACCGTATGTAGGCCTTAATAAAAATTCCCACTGTGACTCTTAAAGTGGCACGTTCCCGCCAGTGTAGTTATCGCTGCTCTAGTCATCGCCATCTTGGTTCCGAAGATCGACTTCTAATTTGCATACAGCTGTCAATCAAAGTACCCGCGGCCTGGCCTGCCTTCGCCAAGCCAGCTGATCGCTGACGATCGCGACGTCACGAAAGTGGGCGGAAACAGCAGCCGAATCTTAGAGTCGAACTGCGATTGGCATTACTTCGGCACATGTATGCGATAATCGGTATTGTCCGGGCATTCGGAACATGCCATCTGCGTAAGAGCCGTATTCTGTTGGTGTCAATAGGCAGCTAGCACCGTCCGCCAGCGGGTACGTATTTTGAACGCCCTCTGGAATACGGGGAACATGCCTCTTTAATTCTCTCACATCAATTGCCCCCTCCCGTTCAACCCGCCCCCACTGGCCCTCCCCCTCCCTTCCCCCCCCCCCCTCTCTCTCTCCCTCTCTGTCCAGGGACGTCTCCCTGTTCTGTCTTTCTCTCTGTCTCCTTCTACATGTATCTCTCTCAATGACTCTCAATTCCCTCCCCACCCCTCTTCTCTCTCTTTCTCACTCACTCTCTCTCCTCCCTCCCTCTTTCTCTCTCTCACCAATAATCCACCACATGTGCACTGCCAATGCTATGGTGTTAAAATCAATTCTATCAATTGCTCATCCAACTCGATACGGCTAAGCACAATGTACATGTACAGATGTACATCATATTTTCTATGGAGGATCTATGTACACATGTGACATTATCACTGTAGAAAACCTACGTACGTGTAATGAACAGGAACACAATACGCTTTTGAAAACGTGTGAATACAGAACTACACAGCCTTACATGCATCCTTGAAATATGATGGGACAATAATATTCAGCTCTTTTGAGTTAGAAGCTTGAGTACATTTTCTCACTTGTCTATTTTGAAAGGGTCACGCTACCCATAACAAAGATTGTTATGTTTATTGAAAATACATGTACCCTGGATGTGTGGCAACACTCAGAGCAGTTCAAGTTTGGGTCCTCTTTTCACATTTTCAGCACAAATATTGTTTCACTGTCACAGAAAGACTTTAGAGTTGAATATCACCTGGGCTTTTTTCGAGCATTATCTCGATGCCCTGCACAATTAGAATTGAATTTTTCCAAGAGTCCAATACATGTATGTGTAAATACGTGTAGGATAGTACCTTTAAGTATTATAAGAATTCAATGACAATTTGCCAACTACTTAATGAACGAAGGAAAGGAAGGGGAAAATCATTTCCTGTCTGTGTCGTAATATCATGTAATTATTGGCAAGTTGACCCAGGAGTCTGTTGATGCTATAAAGTATGGTATTAGAAGTTTCACATGTCACATACACAGGTTATTTTCAAATGGTTACATAAATTATAACCATTTTAATAATAATGTCCTTGTTTTAAGGAGAAAAAAAGGGAAACTTGTAAAAAATGTACAGTAATCAACTCCTGATTATGGCCATCCATGCAGTGTGTTGGCTCAGTCAGTAGAGCGTCCATCTCACAACCGGGAGGTCGTGGGTTCGAACCCCGGCGGTGCATACCAAAAGATGTTAAAAGACGGGAGTTGCTGCTACCTTGTTTGGTGTTCAACAATAAGGGATAGAGCAACGTCGATCTGACACTGCTCAGTGGCTGCCGGGCTCATGATCAATTGGGCAACAAGAATTTCCATTTTCGGTTTAATAAAATTTGGAGTGGACTTTAAAAGATTATTATTTTTATTATTATTATTATTATTATCAGTGGAAGACAAGCCAAGACATTCAATTACATCCTGTTGGTGTCACCCACTTCATGTTTAAAGGGAGAACGCATTGAATTGATTACCGTACTTGAAATGCTAGAGTGCCATAATTAATGGCAGCCATGCTAAAGATAGATTAATAATTGTGGAGTGTCCAATCTAAACAAGAACCCACCATCATGATCATCATTATCATGATGTGCTCTAAATATAACCTTATTTGGGCGTATCGAACAACATTTTCCCTAAATGTACTCTATTTGTCTTATGTTACACAAGTTGCAGGGTTCCTCTGTGAAATAAATTACTCTTCTTTATGAGATTTCTTGCTCTTTACATAAAATATAACCTTTCTTGAAATCCCTTAACATTGAAATGTTTGCGGACATCCCCCAAATTTACACTTTTTGTGCAAAATTTCTAACTACCATGCATACATGTACACCATGAAGAAGCAACACCTGGATAATGATATTCAAGTACCTGCACTATTTGTAATGGCAATAATTAATAGTCTGTTAAGCTTGACAGATTATATACGAAGCCATCGGAAGCTTTTGAAGCTCAGTCGAGAGGTGATGGCATGATTGGCATCAAACCAATTTTAACCCACATTGATAATTTGAATACTCTCTAATTAATGGAGTAGTCTGTTACTGGTACCTGCAGTAAACTCAATAATAGCAATCCAGTGCTCCATAAGACTCTAGTTATTCCACATCAATTAGGAGGAGATAGTTTAGGCCTAGCCCTACCCCACCGGATCGACACACCTCCATATCCCCTTCCCGTTTAGATCATGATCGGATGTAGAGAAATATCACCAGGACGGAAAAGAAGAAGCTACATGTATGTCACAAAAATAAAAAAACAGAATAACAAGAATATACGTTCTTATGCCCAAATAATCCACTCATTATCATTAACACTATTATCCCTACCCGTTTAGAATAGTTCATGATAGGATGTAGAGAAGTATCGCCAAGAAGGAAAAGAAGAAGCTATGTTACAAAATAATACTTCTTACGTTCTTATGCCAAAATATTCCTCTTTAACATGGTCATCAAAGCAATTACAATAATATGATTTCTATGAAGAAATATACTCACAATCAATCACTATATCTACTCGCAAGGTACAATCCAAAAACACGCTCCGATCTGCAAGACACCCTTTTAGTACGACAGCCACTACACATCTGTTTACTGCTCACACTATACTATCCGCGATCACTAGAGCAACACGGACTGAGGCTGCTTTGGAATTTTGTCAATAGCCCATCCCACTTAAAGGGCTATACTCCAATGATATCCTATCATACTCCTTTCATTTTAATGGCCCCACGTTCGGTTCATTGTATCTCCTACGCACATGCTTATGTGTATTAGCTGGTAGAGTGCCTAGTCTGTTTTTGCAGACTTTCTCCCATTACCTTTGTTATTGGAGGGTGATGTGATAAGAAGATGTGAGTTGGTCTAGGGGTAATGTTCATTTTGTTGTTGTTATTCTTATCAGTAGTAGTAGTAGTAGAAGTAGTAGTAGAAGTAGTAGTAGTAGAAGTAGTAGTAGAAGTAGTAGTAGTAGAAGTAGTAGCAGTAGTAGTAGTATCATCGTCAAATATCTTTATCATTATCATTATTACTATTACTATCACTATCCCTATTTATACTATTATTACTATTTCTTTATTGCAACGAATAATGAAGGTTGGATTTCAAATAAAAATGAAAATACAAACATATATAAAAATGGTATAAACTAGTTACACAAGTCAAAGAAAATGTAGAGTTTGATACATAAATGGTCAGCTCTCTGTGACTTTGCCTACAAACCAACTCAGATCGGACCCATCTGGTCTGAAAGTGAGTCACGTCTTTCGGATGGTGGTGTTAATGTTTGTTCCACACGTAAATAGTCATATCTAATTGCGTCTGTAAAAATCCAATCACACACACACATACACACTGTCACACTTTAGCACAGGTTATCGCAGGAAATACATTCTAGCAGATTCAAACTGAACTTACACTGAATGTTCAGATTGCAAATATGATTTGTGCCAAATGATATTTATCAATATTCAAAGCTGAGTAATAAATAGAAAGAGGGAGAAATTAAGCTAATAGTCCCAACCATATATTGAAGTTTCATATTGTGTTTGTACTATATGTTCAAATTTGAATTGTGCATCAGTGATTTTTCCACCATTTTCCCTTGATTTCATGAAAGTTTGCTGCTCCAAACGTCATGTAGGCGCAGTAGGTCCAGTATAATTCCGACTCACTTTAAAGGAGTTTTCTCTCGATAATATAATTACAATGCCAGAACTGTAGAGTGGAGATTAGATTAAACAGTCATGGAATTTTCCAGGCATATTGTGGCTAGCAGATTGGCAAGGACATTGTAATAATTGGTATAAACCAATAATTGTAGTATCTTTTTTCCCTCAATCCTTTTTTATGGCTACAGTGATTGGTTTTTATCTAATCTTCAGTTTTGTTGAATTTCTTATGATATTTACATTAATAAATAGTAATAATAATAACAACATTTATAATGCACACATATCCACCCCATGAGATGCTCAAGGCGCCTAACAAAGTAAATACATTAAGCCTAAGAAAGTACATGACTTCAATGAATATAAGTGCAAGCATATGTATGTATCTTTATTTACTAATTTAAATATATACTTCTGTAAATCTCTTCATTATTAATTGTAAAGTGCTACAAGACAATTGGTATTAGATGTAAGTGCTGTAAATCATACATGTATTAATATCATCATCATCATCATTTATTCCATTTTTTCTAATTGGTATTTCATTATTATTAATTATTTATTTAATTAGTAGTACAAGTAGTAGTAGTATTAGTCGTAGTAGTAGTAGCAGCAGTCGTAGTACATTTTCATAATTTTCATCATCATCATCCACCATCATCATCATCACCATCATCATCATTATCACCATCATCATCCATCATCATCATCGTTATCAATCACTTCTGAGGGATTTTCTCAAAATTTAAAGAGTTCCACTAATGACCCAAATAAAACCCCTTAAACATTACTTTGTAGGCCTACATGTAGGAACAAGGAGTTATTATCTAAACTTGAAGCTACTATACATGTGTATTAAGTAGGACATGATCATTGAAGTAGAACTACATGCCTCAGAAGCTTCCGTTAGGCGTTACCAATACCAGACCATGTATGACTCATTTTGCCATATCAAATGTCATCTAGATTTACAGAACATACATTGCCCGCCTACTACTCAGTCAATGACTATATTAAATATGATATAGATATACACTTTTTTTAGTACATGTACAGAGGCTCCATGAGTGAATGTGTCTAATTTCTCCCCCCCCCCCCCTCCCCCTCCCTCTCCCCCTAAAAAAAAGAAACATCACAAAAACATGAAAACAATCAATCTAGCATACCCTGTTCTAGAATACAGAATAATAAAATAAAAAATGTTTCAACTCTCTTGCTCTCTCCTTCTCTCTGCCTCTCCCCCTCTCTCTTTGGTCCTTTCCCTTCTAGATCTGTTTGTGTGTGTGTGTGTGTGTGTGTGTGTGTGTGTGTGTGTGTGTCTATCTCTCTACATATTACACTTCTTCATTAGCGTACAATGTACCAGTAGATAATAAACCATATACATGTAAAATAGACATCTTTCAAAGTTCAAACAAAGATCATACTATGGATACAGCATCCGGAGCATTTTACGAATGCAATTATTATTTTGTGAAATACAATTATTGTTTATTGAGCATAAATCATGTTTGTTTCCTACAAATAGCCTGACCTACAAATAAAAACCTAAAGGGGATTTCTAATCAATGACATTTTCCAAATACCTACCCTTTAAAAGATCAGTGGAGCATTTAGTAGGGATAGTAGTACACAATGAGTGGGAGAAAGTACTAGTCTTGACCATTTTAGACTCAGTTTAACAATTTTAATGAGAGGGGAGACAACTCGTCATTCATATTTAGCCTGTAATTTGGCTGAAAAAAGGAACCCACGAGATAAAGCCGAGAAGCACATGCATGCACAATATCTTTTTGGTAGCGCACATCATCAGTTGATCATTAATCTGCTAGAGAACAGTGCAGTAACACCCAGTGTTGTTTCTTTTTTAATTTAATTCATGTAGGGCTTGCTTTTATATCTACTTGCTTTTGTGTCATGCGATACCAGCTTTCTCCGATATAAGTGTACACTTTAATACATTGTGAGATCCACAAATTTCTTATGGTACATGTGTTAGAAATGTCTAGTTTCTTTATATTTTTAATGGATCAGTGCAACATAAAATCATCTGAACAATTTGATTGGCCAATTGGTGACACTCCTTTATACAGGAACTGCTGGTGGGCCAGCTGTCATCAATAATTATCTGTTGAAACCTGAACTGGCTGTTGTTTGGAATTACATTATACATTGAAATTTAAATAAACTCAAAGCAACTAGTTAGATTACCTGAAAGATTCTCCATTGCTGTTATAGTGTAAAACCAGAATTGATGAAAAAAAATTACAATTTGTGAATTGAAAAAAAAAGTGTTGTGTTTAAAGGTAAAGACCAGTTATGGTCATGCGATTGCATTGTGAAAGAAATGTTGTGGAATCGATCAGAAAAGGTTGATCATCTAGCATCTAGCATCTGCAAGGTTCTGGAATCATCAAAATGATAAGAAATTTGGCCCAGTCTTCGTAAAGTTACAAGCACTATACACAGAAAGATGTATATGGGACTACCCTATATCTCTCACAGACCATGAGAGAAATAAATTTACCAAATATATGAATTAGTAGGCGGTTTCCCGGCAAATTTTTTATCATCATGTATTAGTCAAAACATATTCTTTCACATGATTGGTAATGAGAGCTTCCATTTCATTTTTTGAAATTGGGGCATTTCCAATACTGTTCTTTACCTTTAAGCTATTTTTTCTGCAGTCAATTTTGAGAATCTTGACACCTGGACAAAGTGTTTAATCTTTTGTTTGTTGTACAGCAATTCGAATTGCTGATACATTTGTTTTCTCCCTTCCTCCCTTATTCCCTGCCCCCTTCCATCTATCTCGCTCTCTTTCTTCTATAGATGAACACATGAGCCAATGATAGGTTGAATGTAATCCATATTCCTGGAAAATGACATGTTTAGATGTTTTCATTGTTTTTATATCTCAAATATTCAATACTTTACACATACACTTACATGTATTTCATATTATGAACAACTTTTACAAGTATGTTTTATTGTGAATTTATATGTTATTCATACAATAATTCCCCTCCTGTGAAAAGGCTTGCCCAAGAGTGAATCCCATCTGCAATGGCCATAAAAGCAATTATCTTTATACATTTTTCACACTGGTTTTGCTTAACCCCGTACTTTGCTTAGCCCCACTATCCTTAACCCCGGACTATTTTTTTTTGCTTTTCACACACGTTGTTTTTAGTCCCGTACTAGCGCCTATTCCGGAATAAGAAAATTCATGCTGTTCTCAATGCAATTCTTAGCCCTAGACTATATGATTAGACAGTGGGCTCCTTACTTCGCATCTGGCCAGCTGCGATACGCTCCATTGCGTAGTACCGGACTATTTTTCGTTTCTGTTCTCATTCATTTGCTTGGCACCGCATTTGCGGGGCTAGCAGGAGTTAGCAACACAATTGTGGAGTTAGCCCTGCTATTTTGCAGGGTTAGTTAACCCCGTACTATAGGTGGGGTTAGCCCACTTTGGTAAATACGAGTCTGAACAGAAAGTGGAATAGGCTTAACCCCGGACTATAGGTGGGGCTAATTGTGGAGTTAGCCCTGCTATTTTGCAGGGTTAGTTAACCCCGTACTATAGGTGGGGTTAGCCCACTTTGGTAAATACGAGTCTGAACAGAAAGTGGAATAGGCTTAACCCCGTACTATAGGTGGGGCTAAGACCCCCCCCCCCCCCCCTTAACCCCACCTATAGTACGGGGTTAAGCAAAATTTTGCCAGTGTGAAAACAGTATTAGAGATTACTGAGTAGCTTAAAAGAAAATGAGTACGTACATTATGGCCAGGTATACACTCAATTACTCATAGTGGAGACGTTTGTTCTTGTCTTTCTCAAAAGGTTGCCAAAATGAAAAGCAAACACAGACAACAATGAAAAGAAAAAGTCTTTTATGGTAAAAGTTGATGTTCTATTTATCATTTTATTTGACTAAGGGGTTAATTAGGAA